TCAGCGGGTTATCTCCTTCAAGCTGATTTTCTCTCAGCAGTTCCTGATATAGTTAGGAGCTGCCCACCCCGCACAGACAGGCAGGGAGCTCTCGGGCAGTGAGAACAACAACGGGGCCCCTCAGTTCTCTTACCTCCGAGGCCCCTCTGACCAGAACTGCCAGAGGCACCCTTTCCTTTGCACAACTGGGCAGGTGCCTGTAGCTACAAAATCTCTGCTCCCTGCGAATACTTCTCCCACCTCTACCAAACGCCTAACACGCCTCTAAGAAGAATCTTAGAGGTGAGGCCAGAGCCCCTGCGAGAGAGAACATCTAGATTTATACGTTCACCTGGCCCAGGGGCTGGTTGGTGCGGGGCGTTCTCCTGATCCCGGGCGACTCGGTGGGTCTTGGAACTTCCAGCATCTAACTGGCCTCCAGGTGGATAAAGCCACCCAGGCCGCACCTTCATGGGCCGGGCCAGGGCAGAGACCCACCTCGTGTTCTGACATGCTGATGGAGCACTGAATGCCCTTGTCCACGGGGTTTCGCTCCACAAACAGCTCTGCCAGCTGGGGGTTGGGTGGGATGTCGATATTCAGTTCCGCTTGGCGGTCGGTGAAGGTGCATTGCTTCCCGAACTCGCTCCGCATCTTGACGTACATGTACACGATCTCCATGGTACCGGCTGCTGCGTGGGCAGAATCGGGAGGCTGGGGTGCGGTGAGGGGCCCCACCTGGCTGCTTCCAGGTCCCCATGGGCCTCCCCGGGGGTGGCTCCAGGTTCCCAGTCTGGTCGGGGGGAGGGGGTCCTAGGGGATTTGTTCAGAAGCTGAGTGTGCATTAAAAACAATCATTTATTGAGTAATGACGACGTGCTAAGCATTATCTTGTTCAGTTCTTGCAATTGCCCTTTGAGGTGGACAGTAAAGTCTGCGTGTTACTTTGGAGAAATCGGATGCTCAGAGATGCCCTGAGTGCCTTGCCCCGTAGCATAGCTAATAAGTGGTACGGCTGGTCTGCCTGACTCTAAAGCTCTTACCAAACGACACAGTTTTTACCGAGCTAATATGTTTATCATGAGGCAGGAGGAAGTACTAATGGCAATTATGTTGGGCTAAGTTCCTTGCCATGCACTGGACTTCATCATACCCCAGATTTGAGAGCCCCAGGCCTTTCTGAAAAGTATCCCAGCCAGCCATCTGATTATCCAAAGGCACCCATTCCCAGAGTTCTAGGTTACCCCCCATCACTGTCTGGGGGTCCCACTTGAGACTCTTCCCTCTGCATCCCAGGACAGGGCTGGGAATCCACCGAGAAAGAGAGAAGGCCGGACCACTTCTTCAATGGGCGGAATAGTTCGGCCTTTGAGAAACCCTCTGATGTGTGCTACTGGTCATGAAAGGCACAGTGGGGAATTGAAAAGCAGGCTGGGTTCTGGTCCTGCCACTTACCAACTGCCTGACCTTGGCTGGGCCACTCAATCATTCTGACACCTGACACACTCAGGATGCTGAGAAGGTGACATACAAGTGCTCCGGCAGCAGCGGAGCGAGGGTTCAAATGCAGAGCAAGAAAGTGGTTTCTCACTTGTGCTAACTGAGAGTCTTAGAAATGCAGTGGGAAGGTCCCACAGGTTGCTCTTCAACTTACCCTCAAAGAGACCTTGACCCCTCTGACCCTAGTCACTTCAATAGACCCTGTGGGGTCTGAATGCTTCTCAGTGGCTTAAATGGCTGGTCACCTGATGGGGTCTGTCAGCTATGGAGTTCAGCAGAGCTGGCCATGGGCTGGCCACTTGTAACTCTCAGAAAGTGTGCCTTTGGTAGCAAGTTCCCCAGGGCCCGGGTTGTGGGCCTGTAGGCTCCTGGGCCTGCCTGGAGCCCTAGGAACAAAAGCTGTTGGATGAGGGGCTACAAGTGGTGTGGTGAAGACAGCTGCAAGAGCCTTGCTGTGATAGGATTTACACCTGAAGACTTTTCAACATCTGAGAGTTTCGGTTCTTGCCTGTAAGTAGGCGTTGCTGTCTTTGAATGAAAAGGGGGCCTGGTAGGAAAATGCTTGGGGGACGTGTCCCCTGCTTTAAGTAAAATCCAAAGACAAACGTCCAAACTTAGGAAACAGATAAAGAAGGGCAACAGAAATGCTACAGTAATAATTCACTTCACCAAGCAATTTGGTACTATAATTTATGCCTGAGACTACCCTCTGGGGCACCCAAAATAATTCTATTTTTAAAAAAAAGCCTAATTACATACACTTCTCTAGGAATTCACAGGTTTTATGAGTGCCACCTCCCTGCTGTATATTTGTCCTGATTATAGTTTCATTATTTTGCTTACTCGCTCAGCAAACATTTATTAAAACTATGAATAATTAAGATAGTGTGGAACTGGCATAAGGACAGAGGAATATATCAATAGAATGGAATTGAGAGTTCAGAAATAAACCTTTATATTTATAGCCAACTAATTTTCGATAAAAAGTACCAAGGCAGCTCAGGGGAGAAAGGATGGTTTGGGACAGCTGGAAATTCACAGGCAACAGAATGACCATAGTCCCCCCACCTCACATTGTGCACAAAACTAACTTAAAATGGCATGAACATAAAGAGCTAAAATTATAAAATTCCGGGGAAGAATATGGAGGGAAACCTCATGGCTCCGATTAGGGAAAGATTTCTTAAACATAGCGTCAAAAGCATGGTCCTTAAAAGAGAAAAACACTGATAACTTAGACTTGACTAGAATTTAAAAATTTTTTGAGATTAAGAAAACGAAAAGACAAGCCACAGACTTGGAGAAAACATTTATGACTCATATAGCTGATGAAAGACTTGTATCCCGAATCTATAAAGACCTACCGGGTTGCTGGCGCTGTGAACACAGTTTACGGGCACTCTGGCTGCGGGTTTACCACAGCCCCCCAAACACTTATCACCATTCGCATTCCACAGATGAGGAAACTGATGCCTGGGGAGATCAAGTGCCTTGGCAAAGGTCACCGTCCTGAAGTCCAGGCAGAGTCAGGGCCGGGACACGCCTGGCCCTAAAGCAGAGATTCTTAACCTTGGTTACCCATTTAGAACCACACGGCGGGCTTTATATAATCACAATGCTCAGGGTGAACCACAGACTCACAAATTCAGAGTCTCTCAGCAGTAGTTTCAAAACTCCCTGGGGAGATGCCTGTGTGCAGCCAAGGTTGAGACACGTGGGTTTACAGTGATGACCCTTTATCGCTTAGGCAGTGCTTCTCAAACCTGGATGTTCATTCAAAATACAGAGATTCTTAAGTCCCTCCTATAAATGCTGAGCTATTAATATATACCTGGGGTAGGACCTAGCAATCGGCATCTTTCTCAATCACCCCAGATAAATATTAGGACAAGACATGTGAATGATCTATGCCCCCCCCCCTGCCCCCGACACCTCCAGGGCTGCAAGGAACCAGACCAGTGGCCCTGGCTGCTGACCCCTGAGATTTGTGACCAAGAGCTGTGTGACAGTCTTGGGTCCTGGAGCAGCTGGGGCAGGAAGTGAAGGGGTGAGGGTGGGAGGGTTAACGCCTACGTCCCTTCACATCCACATATATTGTTCCTTGAAGACTGCACCACCCCATCTCACTCCCAGCCCCAGAAAAACTCAACCCAAACCAGACCACAGAAAGCAATATTCCCCCGTCTTTCTTGTAGTTTGGAAACTCTTCTATCCAGGAAAGGTAGATGCGATGGTTTTTAGGACAGAGGGGTGGGGACAGAAGCACAGATTGCAGCAGAGTGCCGGAAAATGTTTCTTCTACACGGACAAGGATAGGGCCTGGTGAGAAAGAATCACATTCAATTAAATTCTCCCCCTCTGCCAGCACATTGTTGAGATACAAGGGGGGCTGCACCTGAGCTCCCCACAGAACTGCCAGACTCAGGCAATTATGGGCTGCCTACCTCTCTGTTAAAAGGCAATTGCTTAAAAAAAAAAAAAGACAATTGCTATAAGACAGCCGGCTCCTAGGGGACACAAGGACGCTTAAGAGCATGAGGAAACTCCAGGAAGACAAATATAGTCTTTTTAGCCCAGATCATATTTTTCACAGCTTTGCTTTCCTTCTTGGTGCTCCCCCAAGGCGGCCAAGCCAGGAGCGAGAACAGAACGGAGGCATTGTTTTCTATCTGGAGGCAGACAGAGGGGACATTTAAAGGCTGGCTCGGTGACGGGAAGACAGCTCATTCAAGGACCCTGAGGAGGCTCTTTCTCACAAGCTAGCATGGCACGAAGATGAATAGTGAGGTCAGTCAGAGCAGAGGTCTCAGTGAGACCAATGATGCAGGCTGGGCTTCCCCGAGCAGTGTTGTCTGCAAAGAGGTGTCAAAAGGAGGCGGGAGCAGTACCGCTGCCCCCTGGGAGTTTGGGGAGAAGATGGTTTATCCATGGGAACCTAGAGACCCAGAGGCATGAGGAGCTCTGCAGTGAGACTCAAACACAAGAATACCCAGAACCAGAGATGAGCCAGCCCCAACGTCAAAAATGCAGCCGTTTCAGAATCCCAGGGTGGTCAGATGAGAACGTTCACCAACTACGAAAACCGGATTCCAAGCTGGGTGTGAGGCAAGAGAGTGGTGGGAACCAGGGGTGCCGCGGGAGAGCTTGGCAGGGAGGCAGGTGGAGGTGGCCGCCTTCCCTCCCACTGGACTCTACGGTGGTATCAAGACAAGAACTTTTCTCTTCCTCATGTCCCCGGGGCAGCCCCCAGCGTGTGCCTGGGGCTGATGTGGTGCCTGGCAGGACAGAGGAATGCCGGGGGTGGGTGGGGGTGCTTCCTTCCCTCTTTCTTAAGTCTTTAAGCATCTTCTGAAATTTGGGGTCTAAGAGACTCACTCACCTTCGAAAGAGGCAGATGTCCCCAGGAATCCTCCCCCCCCCCATCCGAGCTTCCCCCCAAGGCATGCCAAGCACACTGCGATCAACCTGGGATGAGCTCCAAGCGGGTGCAGGATGAGGCTGTGGACGGGGGAGGTGGGAGGAAGCCCCCAGGAAGGACTGCAGGGCTATTTTGGGTTGTGGATCTTGCTTCCCTGCTCTCCCCACCACAGTGCTGTGGCTTTGAGGGAAGACTGTGTTCTTTTTATTCACCCCTGCTCCCAGTGCCTGGCACAGCCAAGGGGCCCAGTACTCCCTTTGTCACATGCTGAGTGTGTGAATGTGACACCAATCCTCTCCCAGGGCTCTCTCCTAGAGCTCTGTCCCCAATCCTCCTCTTCCTCTTCTGACTTGAAAAACAAAACACAGCAAGGTCATTTGAGAGGAGAAAACACAGGGTCTGAAAGCTGGGAGAAGAATGCATTTCTGTGGTTCAAGAGATTGTGATAACACTTTGAGCCAGTTGCTGGAAAGAACACCTAACCGTGTGAACTTGAGCGTGAGGCCCTAATGGGCGTAAGAATGCCAGCAGCTCCCAGGAGGAAGAATCGATCAAATGGTGCATATACAAGGACCTGCCACCTAGTAGGTGCTCAGCCACTATTAGTTCCCGTCAGCACTCGCTTCATGTGCCCACCCTCCCACCGCCGCAGCCCAGGCTGTATTTCCCATCAATTCAGCTGTTAAACCCTTTAGAGGTCTCCCGCCCCCTCCAGGAAACAGAGCGTGTCAGGACCCATATCAGGACCCGACTGACTGGGAATAGGGGTGCAGAGGCAAAGTGTTTAGAACTTGTCGGGTCCTGTGACTCGGGGTATTGAGAGCAGCGAGGGCCAATGGGGTGGGGACAGGAAGGGCGCTGGTCGTGGCATCCGCCCCCAGGCAGAGCTGTCACGGATGGACGCCCCCATCAGGGACTTCTTGCCCTATCGGTGATTATTACCCCTGGGGGCTCTCGCCTTCACTCTCCGCTCTCCTCTCCAGCCGTGGACGTCCACCCGCGCCCACGCTTACCCGGGGTCCGCTCCTCCTGCGTTGGGCCGCTGGGGGTGGCGCCGGAGCCGCGCTGCCGTCTCTAGCGTCTCTCCAACGGCTCCCACCGCGGAGTTTACCCGTTGCCTAGCAACTCCGGCCGGGCCCGGGACGCGGGACAGCAACGGAGGTGACCTGGAGCACGTGACCTCCCACTCTAACACTTGGGGAGTGCCGCGTGTCTCCTCCCTCTGCTGGAGGTCTCTGGAGCTAGGAGGAAAGTTAACCAGCAAGTTAGCCAAACACCGGTCTCCAGGCTTCGTGCCAAGGCGCTTATCCAAGTCTGCAAACACGCACTGGGCCAGATCCGAAGAAAATGCAAATTGTGGTCAGCGCCCCGGAAGTCCTGAGCCCTGGCTGGTGATGCGGCGCTTTGCGATGTATTTGCTTGTGACCTGGCGGGTCATTTACTCCTTCCTTCAGTGTTCGCGTCCACTAAATGGGAATTTTAACCCCACCTTCCCCTCTGCGGCCATATCCCCCGCGTTTGGTGTAAGAACCCTGTCTGACCGAACCGCGGCAATGGAGAGTGGGGGCTGGGTATTTGGTTGGCACATTGTCAGCATGTATAAGTGTTAAATGAATGAATGAATGAATGAATACAATGAAATTTCTCATGGGGTTCAGGCAATGAAGTTTGATAATGTAAACAAAATAAGGGGATTTGGGGCTAGAAGACATGCGTTTGAATTCCAGCCTGGCCATTTATGAATCGCATGACCTTGGGCGACTTACTTTCCCTTCCTAAGACTCAAACTTCCTGGTCTGCAAAGTGTGTGTGTGTGGGGGGGCGGGGGGTAGGGAGGGAGTTATTACTTAGCATATTGGGAGGATCAACTGAAATGACTCTGCAGAGTTCCCAGCCTCGTGTTGATGGCAGAGTCCAATGCCAGCTCTGTACATCCCACCGAAAGGGATCAGGCACACCGGAATTCAGGTGTCCTGGGCCGGGACAGATAAGGGATGTGTCATCCAAGAAGTGGGATGTGGGGCTGGAACTGAGCCTTGTAAAATGGTTACGAGTTGCAGGGAAAGGAGCCGGGAGAACATTCCAGATTGGGGGGAGGGCATGGCGTGAGCAAAGGGGTGGTGGTGGTGGTGGTAGTTGTCATGGAAGAAAGGCATTTTGGGGGATGGTGGGTGCATCCATCTGACTGGAGTGGACAGTCTGTGGAGGGAGAAAATAGGAGAAAATTTGCAAAGGTCAGCTGGGGCCAGTTTGGGGGGGGGGTCCCTGGAGGCAGGCTCCCCGCCCCTGAAGATTTTGGAACTGTGAAAATACAGGAAGAAAGCAATTGTCCCCCTCCCCTCCATCTCCCTAACTTCTCCATAAACATGTCTTCACTTCTACCCACCTAGTTTGAACTGGGCAGGGGCAACACAATTCCCAATGAAATGGCACTTTGCCCAACCACACTAACCAAAGACAAGCTCCCAAGTGACTGCTGCCACCACTGCCCCCTCAGCTCCCACTCCCACCAGCTTCTCTGAGTAAAAGACTCCCTTGGGGTGGGCACTGAGGGGGGTGATGGGGGATGGGTGGAAGAGAGTCTGAAAGCCTCACTGAACTGGCTCTGTGTGGTCAGAGGAGAATGGGACCAGACAAAGCGTCCAGAAGTAAGAAAGAGAGAGGCTCCACAGTGGGGCACTGGACTGCAATCACAGACACCCGCTCCCAGCTCTGGGAAGTTGAGGCCCTCTGCACTCACATTATTCCTTGGGTGGGAAAGTGGGGGGAGTGGGTAGAAGAGGGGGAAATGGGGGAAAGTTGCAAAGAAAGCTGCAGCCACCTTTCTCATATTATTGCAATGATTTATTATTACAAGCTCCCCGCCCCCACCCCTACTCAGAAAGCCTGCATGCTGCTAACCACTGAAGGCGGCTCTGTTCACTGGCAAAACAGCCGTCACCCCTTGGCAGGCCCATCTCAGCCGCTCTGGGAAGCCAGCATGAGGTCATATAATTAGAAGTATGCATAGGGATCCAGTTCAAAAAAATTGCAGCGTCTCTCAGATCTCCGCCCAATCACAGCAGAACTGGCAACTGAAATTCTTTGCTGGGAGCAGCCTCTGGCCCTGGACATCCCCCAGGTCAGTCCACAAAGCGTTGCATGGCTGTCCACCCCTTTTCTTCCCCCCAACCCCCTTTTTTTTTTGTTAATAAACACACATAACACAAAACTTACCACCTTAACCACTTCTTAAGTGTACAGTTCAGTGGTATTCAGTACATTCACGTTGTTGTGTAGCCATCCTCACCATCCATCTCCAGAGCTCTTTTCATCTTGCAAAACGGAAACGCTGCACCCACTGAACACTAGCTCCCCATTTCCCCTTCCCCCAGCCCCTGGCAACCACAATCTTACTTTCTGTCTCTATAAATTTGACTACTCTGAGTACCTTATATAAGTGGAATCACACAGTACTTGTCTTTTTGTGATTGGCTTCTACCATGTAGCATAACGTCTTCAGGGTTCATCCATGTTGTAGCATATTCAGAATTTTCTTCTCCTTTAAGGCTGAATAATATTCCATCATATGGAGAGACCACATTTTGTGTAGCCTTTCAATCTGTTGATGGACACTTAGGCTGCTTCCACCGTGTACTCTTATATATAATGCTGCTATGAACATGGGTGTACAAATATCTCTTCAAGATCCTGCTTTCAATCCTTTTGGGAAAGGGAATTGCTGGCTCATACGGTAATTCTATTTGCTTAATAGAGCTTATTATTTTTTTTAAGAATCATCATACTGTTTTCCACGGCAGCTCTATGATTTTACATTCCCACCAACAGTGAACAAGGGTTCCAATTTCTGCATATCCTTACCAACACTTATTTTCTGTTTTTTTTTTATTTTTATAGTAGCCATCCTAATAGATGTGAGGTGGTATCTCATTATAGTTTATTTTATTTTGTTTTTTATTGTGAAATAAACATTTTTTAAAAATTAGTTTCAGCTGTACAACACAGTGCAATGGTTATACTTTTTATCCCTCAAAGTGACAACTCCCCTCCCCCAATCCGCTACCCCACTCCCCCACCCATATCATACATATCTATTACAATTCCCTTGACTCCACTCCCACACTATACTCCACGTCCGGTGACTATAAATATATTCAATTATAGTTGACATATTTGCATTTCCCCAAAGATTAGTGATATTCAGCATATTGGCCATTTGTATATCTTCTTTGGAGAAATACCTGTTGAAATTCTTTGCCCATTTTTGAATCAGGTATTTTTTATTGTTGAATTTTCTATGTATTCTGAATACACATCCCTTATAACATATATGATTTACAAATAGTTTCTCCCATTTTATGGGTTGCCTTTTTACTCTGTTGATAGTGTCTTTTGACGCACAAATATTTTAAATGTTCATGAAACCCAATTTATTTGTATTTTCTTTTGTTGCCTGTGCCGTTGGGATCATGTCCAAGAAGTCACTGACAAATCCAATGTTGTAAGTTTTTGCCCTATGCGCTCTGCTAAGAGTTTTATAGTTTTAGGTCATTGATCCATTTTGAGTTAATTTTTGTATGTGCTATTAGGTAAGTATCCAATGTAACTCTTTTGCATGTGGATAACCAGTTTTCTTAGCACCATTTATTGAAGACTGTCCTTTACCCATTGAAGGTTTTGGCCCCCTGTTGAAAATCATTTGACCACATATGTGAAGGTTTATTTCTGGGCTCTATTTTTTCCATCGGTCTGTATGTCTGATTTTAAATCAGCATCACTGTCTTTTGATTCCTGAAGCTTTGTCGTAAATTTTGAAATCAGGAGGTGTGAATCCTCCAAGTTCAGTCTTTCTCAAGATTGTCTTGGCTATTTGGGGTCCCTTGAGATTCTGTATGGATTTTAGAATGGGTTTTTCTATTTCTGGAAAAAAACCCACATCATTGGTATTTTGATTGGAGTTGCATTGAATCTGTAAATCACTAATCACTTTGGGTAGTATTTTCATTTTAACAATATTAAGTCTTCCCATTTATGAGAATGGAATGTCTTTCCACTTGTTTATGTCTTCTTTAATTTTTTTCAGCAATGTTTTGTAGTTTTCATTATACAATTCTTTTCATTTCCTTGGTTAAGTTAATTCCTAAGTATTTTATTTTTTTATACTATTATAAATAGAATTTTCAGATTGTCCATTGTTAGTTTGTATGTTCACTTTGTATTCAATTACTTTTCTGGATTCATTTATTCATTCTAATAATTTTGGGTGAAATTTTAGAGCTTCCCACATATGAAATTATATCATCAGTGAACAGAGATAATTTGACTTCTTTTCCAATTTTGATAGCATGTTATTTCTTTTTCTTGTCTAATTGCCCTAGCTAGGACTTTGTACTATATTGAATGGAAGTCGTGACAGCAATCATCCTTGCTGCCTTCCCCCCTTTCAAAGTAAACTTTTTGTTTCAGAAGTCTTAAATTTATAGAAAAGTTGTAAAGATAGTACAAATAGTTCCTATATACTCCTCCAATGGCTGGAATGTTTATGCCCTCCCAAAATCCATATGTTGAAAACTAACTCCCAAAGTGATTATGAGTAATCGGAGGTGGGGGGGTCTTTGGGAGATTATTAGGTCAAGAGAGTGGAGCTCTCCTGAATGGGATTAGTGTTCTTATAAAAGAGGCCCCAGAGAGCTCCCTAGCCCTTCCCACCATGTGAGAACACAGAGAAAAGGCGCTGTCTGTGAACCAGGAAGCCTTCCTTGCCTATTTGTAAACTCCAGGAAGTCAAAGACCAGAATTGCCTTTGATGCTGCAGTAACCCCAGGATTTAGAGAAGGTGCTTTGCTAGGCCAGGGCCAGCAAACTGTGAACTACTGTAAAAGAGAGTAAATACTTTAGGCTGCAGGTTAAGAGGCAAAATCAATACTTTGTAGATACTGATGTAAGAGAGAAAACCAACTCCCACACATTTTTGATGAACAAAATTAAAGGTATTTGAGTACATTTTCTTTGGTAATGCAGGTCTATTAGTGAGAAGATTGGAAATCTTTAGGGGGATAACATTATGCTTAACTGAGGTTCAAAGCTGTTGTTCTCTACCATCAAAATCAGTTGCAAACATTTAAAAGAAAAAAACATTAAAAATATAAAAACTATACTCACCTACTGTACAAGGCAGCAGGTCGGGCTGGGCTTACAGGCCAGTTTGCTAAGCAATCAACACATTTTTAGTTAAATGAATGAAAGGGGGGAAGGAAGGAAGGCAACAAGTGCTTCTGACCTGGATATATCTGTCAGTGGGGACACAAGGCCTCTTGAATGTTCACGAGTCATGAGGCAGTGATATTGCCCCAGCTGCTTTGAAATATAAGACCTCAACGCTTTGGAGGAGGGAAAAAGCACGGCAGAGTTTGGCTTAGGACAACTGGGGATGAGTCAGCTTTGGAGAAGGGACCACTGTCGGCCGCTCAAAATGGCTGAATGGGTCCTGAATGACAGACTTCAACACACACCTGTTCAGGCAAAGGCTCTGCTTACAGGGGGGCCTGATGGGATTAATTCCTCTTTCTCTTTGGGAGCAGGTTTCTGGGGCTGGATGTTTGGGGATGGCAAGGCTGGCAGGTGGGAGAGTCGCATGCTTGGCTGGGAGGCCTACCCGCCTCACCTCTTTCCTTTGGGCGAAAGAGTGGTGCAGGCCAAGATAGGAAGGGGTGGGGGGAGGTGACACATGGGATGATCCAAACTGCCCTTGACCTCATGCACTCCCACGGGGCCTCCTTCCTACTTCATGCAGGGCCTGCTTGCAGCTCAGGCCTCAGTCCAGGCCCCAGGGACAATGGAAGCCCCCGAAAGAATTTCATTTGGGTACTGAGCTGCAGTTCCCTTTAAAAAACCAGATTGGTCATAGGAAAGAGTTTCTCATTGCTTCACGCATTTCCCCCACTGCTTTTGCTATCCTGAGATGAGGGCAAAAGGTGGCTATTCTGCTAGATGGGTGGAGAAAACATTTCCACTCATGGGATGCCCTAGTTCTGATCTCAGCTCTGGGGGATGTGCAGGTCTGAGCCTGTCCTCTGCGCTCACCTCAGATGCTCCCAAAGGATGCATAAGCTGCTCCCTTCAGGAAGCTCCTTGAAACAGTCAATTCTGGGAGCAGAGCTGCTGCACAGAAGGCTAAACAGTAGCTTAGGGTCTTGGGCAGAGAGCTGCAGTCTGCCCTGCCAAGCCATCCCAGGCTGGCTCAGTTGTTCACCAAATAACTCTGCAAAGAAAGTATAAAGGGAGCAGTGCATCTCAGGTGCCCCTGCTCTGATTGGCACCCCATGGAGGTGCAGAGTTTGGGAAGAGAGTGCAGCAAGGATCCACGGCAAACCTTGGGGGGAGTTGGGCAGCCTGCTGTGTAACCACCGCCCCTTTAGGGGGTACTTGGAAAAAGAGGAGAGCAGCATCAGGGTCTGAGTACCAGAGTAGCTAGCAGCCACACGAGGCCCTGTGACAGTCATTCAGTAGCCCCGTCTTTCAATGCTCACACTGAAATCTGCTTTGAAGCCCTCCCATCACATAGCCGAGCTGGAAGGGACTGTTCAGTCCCCTCCTTACTCCCACAGCTAAGGAAGTTAGAGACAGAGGGCACATCTTAGTACAATTGTTTATTTGTTCCTCCAGGTGAGGGCGCACCTGTACCAAGCAGAGGTGTGCCCACCTGGCTCCTTCAGGAACCACCTGAGGGTTCTAGTTTAGTTTACATGCATTAAAAACAACTCTCTAGTAGCCAACAATGAGACGTTAAGAAGCAACACCTTGACATCGCAGAGTTGTTACCTGCACACGACGTGGTCATACAAAGGTGTGTTTATGGTACATACAGGTTAATGCAGGGGAGAGGTTGTCCTGCGGCCCAGTTCTGTCATAGGGGCTTGGCTGGGGGCCGAGAATCCCTCTGCTGTCAGTGTTTTAGATGAAAAGGTGGTTCTTCCAAAATGGAAATGGAGCCTTTGTCCCAAGCCATGCCACCCTATGTCCCTGCTTTGGTGTGAGAGGCTGTGGGGGCTTCTGCGCTGTGCATCTCGAGTTGGCAGGACGTTGGAAGCACCAGAGACCCTAGCCCTGGACCCTCTGCGGGCAGAAGGATGGGTGATGATTTTTTCCTGGTGAACAAGCTCCTTCTCACCCAGCAGGCACAGGGTAGCGGCCTGAGACCATAGGATGAGGACAGGGTGGCGGGGAGGTTGGGAAGATGCCTGTCTTCACATCAAGACACAGTTGTCCCTCTTAGCTTTGCTAAAGCTTTACTGACAAACTTGCTTGAAGACGAAAGGGAGGGGATAGCTGCCCTGGGCACTCAGCCATTGCCCTGGAATGGGGCTCTGTTCATGTTGTTTTCCCTTATTTTCTCTCTTAACGGCCCCCCCTTCGGAGTGAGATGAACCCACATTCCCATCAAACAGATCCCGAAAGAACTGGCCCGTGTCAGCAAATTCTGAAAAGGGACAGGATACAAATCAGGTGTAAGGAATGAACCCCAATTCTACTGTAAAAACTGGATGTGCTATGAGTTTCAATTCTTTGGATAATCAAAATACTTAAAAGGCTGGAAAAATAAAAAAAGAGTTAAAGTTGCTTTCCAAGTGTCTGTTAATACCTGAGACAGTCCTTATCTGCAGCGGACAAACAGCATGGGTTTTAGAATGGAGGTTTGCAGTAAGGAGGGTTGCAGAAAAGGCCGGCAGAACGTGGCAGGTTTTCACCCACATTCCCAGTGGGTCTCGCTGCAGGAGCCCGCCGGGCACGAGGCTGCAGTCCCCTGGCTCTGGAACCACCGCCCTCACAGGGCTCTCCACCTCCCTCTGTGGCCCAGGAAGAGGCCATCTGGCCCCAGGAGACTGACTTGGACAGTGTCTGGTCTCAGCAGGGACATCACCTCCCTTAAAAGCATTTCCTGATCAGCCCTTCCACCTTTAACCTGCAGGGAAATGCTACCCATCTGTGCAGCCAGGAGAGGTGACTTTGACAGAGCGGTCAGCTGGGCTTCTGGCTGTGCTAGCAGGAGGCACAGTCCTGGCAAGGGGACCCTGAAGCCTGACCCGGCCATGGTGGGAGGTAGGGGTGAGCTGAACCAGGCTCCCAGCTTAGGGATGGCCAAGCACCTGGGGGGAGTTTCTAGCGTGGAGAAGTCAGAGGCAGAAGTCAAAGGCTGGTCCCAGTTGCGGGTCTTCAGTCTGCCTGAGGCGTTTGGTCAGGAATCTCAGCCTACCCCAGGCTGATTCTCCCCGAACCTCAGCCGGTCCTCAGGCAGCAGGAGCCTTCCAGGCCTGCAGTCCTGCACGCAGTCTCCAGGTGCCTTTGGTTTCTACTAAGGAAACGCAGGTTTCATTTGAATTAATTAAAAACCAAAATAGATCAGGGAGGCAGGAACGCCTAAAAGTGTGTTAGGCGGGAAGCTCATTCCTGTAGGGCCACAGGTGTTCGTCAGCCACGGACAGGTAGGTGGCCCTCATGCTGGGAGAGTACTGTGGAGAGAGGAGAGGGGACAGTCAGAACAGGGTCATGCCATGTCACCAGTTAAACCTGACACTGGACTAGCAAAGGTGCCGGGAAGTCCTCAGGGAGAGCTGGGCCAGCTGCAGCAGTCGGACACCGAGTTTTAGTGACAGGGCATCATGGGGACTGGAAGCTACTAGAGTGGCTTGGGCAGATTTCCTGCCTGGTGATGCTTCCCGCCCCGGGGCCATCAGGACATCTGGCTCCCAGCCTCGAACGCAGGATGCACACACTGACCAGCCTCTCTCCCTCCCCTGTGGCCCCACATCCACTTCAGTGCAGACACCGACAGCAGGGACAGTGTCAGGGTGCACCAATGCACGTGGCCCAAATGGTGAGCAGGCCCACTGACTCAGAGAGCCAGGTTGAAATCCCAGCTGTGCGTCTTAGTCATCCCATGACCTTGGCTGGGGTTCTGCAATCCCTCCAAGCCTGTTTCCCACTTGCAAAATGAACCTAAGAGCACTCAGCTCTTACATTGAGAGGATGAAATGGTACAAAGGGCAAGACCCCTAACACAGTGGTTCTCAAACTTGGCTGTGCAGTAAAAGCTCTTCCAAGTGCAGCCAAGTTGGTGAAGCAGTGACCTAACTCAAAGTGAGGGCTCAACAGATGTTGAGTAGAAAGGCATGGCTTCTTTCACAATCACAGCTCATATCACAGGACCGGGGAGTCTGCATTCTAACCAGCTCCAGATGCCACTGGCCTGCTGACTCCAAGTAGCAGGGTCAGCAGGACCCCGACTGGCCCCTGGCCCCAGGGGAGTTTCGGGGGACCAGGTCTGAGCTATTCACACCAGCTGTTGGGGATGGGGGACGGGGTGCATGAGACTACTGAACCCAGTGGGTCTCCACCAGGGGCGACTTGGCCCACGAGGGACATTTGGCAATGTCTGGAGGCATTTTTGGTTGTCACAACCAGGGGGTAGGGAGTGGGGACTGCTGCTAGCATGGGGTGGGTAGAGGCCAGGGGTGCAGGCCAACATCCCATAGTGCACAGGACAGCCCCCATATCAGAGAATGACTGGGCTCAAAATGGCAGTTGTGCCGAGGGTAAGAAAAGCTGCCCCAAAGCAGGGGCTCTCCACGTGTGCTCCCCAGACGGGCAGCTTCAGCTTTACCTGGGAACATGCTACACATGCAAATCCCTGGGCCCCACGCCAGACTTTCTGAATCAGAAACAGAGCGGGCCCAGCAGCCTGTGCGGCAAGTCCTCCAGGGGATTCCGCTCTTCGCTCAACGGGAAGTGCCTCCTCCAGGAAGCAGCATTTCCCAAACTTGCATGACGATAGGATCACCTGGGCTGCTGGTTGCACTTAGATCTTCCCAGGCGCCTGCCCTGGAGACGGTTTCAGGGATGGGTCCCAGTGCTGGGGGGGAAGTCACAGCATTGGTATTTTTAATGATTGCTCAGGTCGTTTTTGTCCGTCAAGTCTACGACACAGTGCTGGAAGGACAGCAGGGATTCTGGAAGGCAGAGCTAAGGGAAGACACGTTTCTAGCCAAGGGAATGGGCTGTACATTCGGATGGCCTTGCTGGATGTCGCCACCTTAGTGAAATCCTCCATCTGTCCCAGAGATGGGGCAGGCAAAGGGAGGGGTTTACCCTCACGTCCACTAGGCTGAGCACTGATGAATAGACTGGGCGCAGGGGGAGGGTGGGGCGCGGCCAGCTGTGTGGTCATCATTGGGGCGCATGTCCACACCTCCGTGCTGTGGGCTCCTGGGTCAGCAGCATTAGTAGTTGTCGCCTCATGTCCCTTGCATGGTAGAAGGGTGGGGTGGGCGGCAGTCAGCTCTGCCAAAGCAATTAGGGTTTCTGGGCAGGTCTTAACTCTAGGGAGGACGGTTTATGCTGTCCTTGAGCCTTGCACATAAGGTCAGTTCTTGATGATCTCTGCTAGTGGCAGGGAGAGTGGCCTGGATCTTTCAAAACAGAAGGTAATCCGAAAATCATTTTGGCTCGCATCACAATGCTTTGAGTAATTCATTTTTCACAGCAGCAGATTTCCCCAAATTATTGGGTTGTCGGAAAAGTCATGACGCATGTTTGCAACAGATAGCACTAGTTCATTTTTGGAAGTACTAGAGTCATTCGCATCTATGTTATTGCTGTGTCATTTGACAGCTGACAGGTCTAGCTTCATTCTTAAAAAAAAAAAATTGAGCGATTTGGTTGAGTTTTGGAGGTTTTACAACAAGTTGAAGATGGAAGACCAAACTGCATTTTTGCCATATTTTACTGTTTTACTTCCATAAAGGGAAGAACACGCATCAAGCTTGTGAAAAGTTGCATAAAGTTTATGGTGACAATGCTCTACAAGAACGTCAGTGTCAACGATGGTTCACAAAATTCTATGCTGGTGATTTTGATCTCAACGACGCTCATCAGTCAGGGAGGCCCACCGCGGTTGACGACGACAAAATAAAGGCATTGATGGAGTCAAATCAAATTTACATGACAAGAGATTGCAGAAACATTGAACATCCATCATTCAGGTGTTCATGATCACCTGAAGAAGCTCGGATATGTAATAAGCTCAATATTTGGGTTCCGCATGAACTCAAAGAAGTTAATTTGACGGCGTGTATAAACATCTGCAATATGCTCATTAAACGTGAGGAAAACGATCCTTTTTTGAAGTGACTGATAACTGGTGATGAGAAGTGGATTGTTTACAACAATGTGGTTCGCAAACGGTCTTGGTCCCGACGTGATGATTCGCCTCAAACGACATGGAAAGCAGACATTCATCAGAGGAAGGTTATGCTCTCAGTGTGGTGGGATTTTAAAGGTGTCGTGTTTTTTGAGCTCCTACCAAGGAACCAAACAATCAATTCGAATGTGTACTGTCAGCAATTGGACAGTTTGAGCGAATCCATCATCTAGAAACGTCCAGAGCTTGTTAATTGTAATGGAGTTGTGTTCCATCTCGACAACGCGAGACCACACACAAGTTTGGTCACCTGTCAAAAATTATTGGAGCTTGGATGGGATGTGTTGCCACACCCATCATACTCGCCTGACCTTGCGCCATCAGACTTCCACTTGTTTAGCTCTCTTCAAAACTCCTTGCGTGGTATAAAGTTCAATTCAGATGAGGCTGTGAACCAGCACCTTGCTCGGTTTTTCACAAATAAAGACAGGTCCTTCTATGAACGAGGAATTATGAAGCTCACTGAAAGATGGCAAAAGGTTGTCGAATGAAACGGGCAATATACCATTGATTGATCTTTGTTCTTTATAGAAATAAATGACCTTTGAAAAACAGACAAAATACGTCATGACTTTTCCGACAACCCAATATGTTGTGCTCAGATTAATATTAAAATCCATCTGCATTCCTCGGTCCACAGCAGCTGGTGGCAAAGAAAAGACACCCAGGAGGCTTCCGGTTAGAGAGAGAAGCCAGGCGGGGATTTAAAGGGTGCCGACTCTGTACACAGGCTTCGACCGCTAGCTTTCCTGACCTGAGGACCCAAGGACACTGGGTGCGGGAGCTTGGCCTGGGTCTAGTGCTATTTGTAAAAGGACAGCCGGGGAGGCGCTCTGGGCAAAAAAAGGAAGGTGGGATCATGGCAGCGAGAGACGCACGATGGGTCAGAGCAGTTTCTCAGCCATAACACCAGGGACACTTGAGGCCGGTCGTTCTTTTAGGTGGGGGCGGTCCTGTGTGCCCTGGGGGGCTCAGAAGCATCCCTGGCCCCCACCCACTAGATGCCAGCAGTGAGTACCCCAGTTGTGATAACCAAAAGTGCCTCCAGATGTGGCCAAACATCCCCTGGGGGGCAAAATCGCCCAGGGCAAGACCCCCTGCTCGCAGGTAAGGCTCAAATGCCACCTACTCCATTGGAACTCCTTGGGTCCCACAGAGCAGTGAGGACAGTTCCTCCCTCCAGATCCCCAAGCACTGTGTGGCACTTATGACAAGCAGTTTTCCTGAGTCTCCCAGCCTGCAGATTACACACTTTCTGAAGACCAGGACTGGGTCCCATCTCTCTTTTCCCGATCTGGCACCTTTCACAGAAAGCACTTGCTGGCCACCCATGAGCATATGTGCACATCCTGGTCCTCAGGGCCCAGGCCTATGTCACTGATCCCATGTCCCTGGGTCTTCAGTGCTCCTAGTTCATCAGCTGGATGGCCCTTCCAAACTACCAGGATGGGGCAGGTGCAACACCTCATCCAGCCGAGAAAAGGCAGAGTTTCCCGACAGACACCTGGCTCGAGAACTCTGCTGCCCACCCTGCTGCGGGAGCCCAGGGTACCGTGGGAGGCGGGGAGCCTCTTCCGATGAGTGGCATGTTCTCATAGCGTGGGTTTCCACCAAAGAGCACGGCTTGGTTCCTGCAGGGCCGAGAGGAGAGCTCAGGAGGGGAAGGCGTGGGGGGGCGGGGAGCTCAGGTTTCTACAGGAGGGTCCCATGGGTCTGCATAGGGGAGTGGGGGGATGGAACAGACCCTGGATAGAGCACAGGGAGTGTGGGCAGAGGGATAAGGAAAGAGGGCCCCGGGTGGCCCAGGGAAGAAGCAGTAGATAGGTGACAGAGGCCAGGAGCAGCGTGGCCAGGAGAAATGCAGCTTCTCAGCCTGGAAACCCGTCCTGCAGGCTTGGCATCTATAGTGAATTCCTCCCCCCCAGCACACGTGGCTGTGCAGGGGTGACTAGATGCTCCTAGCCAGGCATCCCATGGCAGAGCTGCAGTGAGGGGACCACAGCTGGCCTTTGATGCCTTCCTTCCCACCTGGCTCTCTGGACCCAAACGTGCTACCCACAGACCCATCTCCCCTAGGGCCAGGCGCTGTGAGGGGAGGCCCCAGGAGTCCCTGCCGTACATGTACTCCGAGACGGGGGTGTTGGAGATGGTCTGGGTCGGGGGCTGCAGGCTGGTCTGGCTGCCCAGGCCACTGCTGTAGCTGCAGAAGCTGGGCAGCTGCCCCCGAGGTGGGTTATGGACAGCGATGCGCCGGGCCTGGGGATTGAAGGGGTCATCATCGTCGATGTCCTCATAGTCTCTGCCCCTGGAATGACACGGGGGATACGGCTGACTGTGAGGGGTGAAGGAGGTTTCAAGAGAGCGGGGCCCTAGCCTGCTTCCCAATCTTTCCTCCCAGGACTCTCCCGCTGGCCACATGTGTGCCTTTGGGTTTCCTCGAAAACATGGTCCTCAGCCCCGCCTCACACAGATCACTCAGCCCCGTTCCCAACTGCACATCCACCTCCTCCAGGCAGCCCACCATGCTGACCGCGTGCACACTGACCCTCCCTACCCGGCTTCCTCTTGCCCTGTTCTTGAGGTGCTGAAATACCATCTCGTCTGTCTCTCTCTCCTCAATGAGACTGCAGGGGCCCTGATAACAGTGCTACAATCTATCCTTCTCAGTATTCTGGGGGCACCCCTCCCAGCACCCAAAGCTCTCCTCATCATCTCATGCCACAGAGTCCTGTGAAGGAAGGGAGGGCAAGCAAGGGATGCCCGGTCATGGCGTGTCGCGGTCACCATGCTCAGTCCCACTCCTGGCCCCACGGAACCTACTTTTGGGGGTCTGTCTAGACTCTCAGGGAATCTTCTGCAGACATCCAGGTGGCCCGTTGGGGCTGAATGCCTGGGTGCTTTGCTGCCCTTGTCCATCCGGGTTATCAGGCAGAGCAGAGCCGCCCGCCTGTTCTCCCAGGAAGCCCCCTCCAGGCAGCCCACCTGGTGATGAAGTGCTTCCAGGCCCGAGGCCCCGCGCAGATCATGGTGGAGAAGGCCAGGGCGGCCAGGAGGGAGAAGAGGCCCAGGTAGAGCAAGCCCTCAACGCCATCGTAGCAGACGCCAGCCAGGGCGTCCAGGTAGTCCTGGAGGAGGACAGGCACACAGTTGGAGGAGAGCGGGGCACAGCCTGGGGTCTGAGCTCGTCTCTGGAAGCCCCTCTCCCTCAACCTGGACCTGGATATCCTACCCTTCCCATCCCAAGCACCTTGTACAGCCATTAAGGGTCCGTGCTCTGGAGCCCAACACAATGGGGCTTCCTGGCTTCACTCTACAAGCATTTGCTGAACACCTACTGTGTGCTAGGCACGGGAGGTTCGGCTCTGAACCAGACAGACAAGGTTGCCCGATGAAGATGAGCAGAAGATAGGAGGGATTTACTCTGAGGCCAGGACGGCAAGGAGAGGAGTGCGCCTTTGTGGCAAAAGGGACAAGGCCAGTAGGAGACGGACTGGGATGGCACCGGGTCACACTGGGCCTTGCTGGGCCGGCGACAGGTTTGCAGTTTATCGTAGGTTGACAAGAAGATACTGGAGGGTTTGGGATGGAAGGGAGGCGATCCGATTTGTTTTTTAAAAGACCGCTCTGGGTGTTGTGCACGACAGGTCTGGGGTCGTGAGGGGCAAGGAAAAGTAGGAGAACAGTTAGGAGGCCAGGGCTGTCACCCAGGGGAGCAGGGTGGTGCTTGAACCACTGCAGACGCTGTGAAGGAAGAGAGAAGCACACAGACTCAGGACACATTTGAGAGTATAGGTGCTGGGACTTGCTGAGGGGAAGGGAAGGAGGGTACAAGGGTGACACCCAAGTTCTCAGCTCTGAAATCAGACTGGCAGGGCCCAAAGCCCATGCTTTGAGTTGCCAGTTCTGGCATCTTCAGTATGCTACACACACTTTCCTTATCTATAAAATTTCCCATGAAATAACGTGTATTTCATAGTTTACCTGAGAGGACTAAATGACGTGTTGGATATAAGGTGCACAGAACAAAGGTCAAGCACAGAACTAAGCGATCATTAATATGACTATTTGCTCTAAATCCATACGGGCTGTGAAAGCTGTCGACAAATGTTGGTTTATTGCTTGGGGTGGGGGGGTCGCATACTCTGTGTTCCCTGAACTAGTGTCTGATAGTCCAACTTCCTGGAGAGGTGAACCTGGCAATGAGATTGGGATGTCCACTTGCAACCCAGGGAGATGGAGGGGTCGACCAGATGATTGGGAGTTTGGACAATGGGGAACAGCCTCCCTTTATATAAATCAGGGTCCCTGGTGTTCTAGGGGTAACCGGAGCCAATGCTGCTGCTACCTCACCCCCTGGTACCTTTCACTATCGCCCTGTCTCAGCTACTGGAGAGAATCAAGAAGCCAGACACCTCTTCCACCTTCCTGCTGTCCGGCTTCCTCCCCGCTCCCTGGGCCTGCGGGGAGCCCCGCAATCCTCTCCTAGCCTCTGCCAGCTGCCCACTGGCCCCTCTCAGGGCGACCCCAGCACCTTGTGCAGCCCTCGGCAATCCAACATGGCTGTCAGCTGGTGAAGGCTGGATTCTGTGGAGTTCAACAGGAGCTGGATTCTGAGCAGGTCTTTCTGGAGCAGAAAGAAGGAAAGCAGCGAACATGCCGACAGGCTGAGCGGTGGGGGCAGGGCTTGTGGATAAAACCACAAACAGCAGCTGGTGCACAGAGGTCTTTAAGGCCAAAGGAACCAGCCAGACTATGGGGAGGGGACGCTCTCCAAAGCCCCAGGGATCCCCTCTTCCATCATGATGCTGGGGGAGGCCACCTTACCTCTGCGGTGGGGAACAGGGGCACGGCAAACTGCAACAGTCCCACGACTTGGATCTGCATGGTGGTCAGCGAGCGCTGGAAGGTGGTCAGCGCCTGGGCCAGGAGAAACCACAGCCCTGTCGTCATGTTCAGTTTCCCAGGAGCCCCCACAGCTGCCAAGGGTTTGTTCCCCTGCAGCCCCTCCCCCTGGCTGCAGCTGCAGTCACATCCCTGACTATGGCCCTTCCTGTTTGCAAGAAGACTTCCCCTTATCCCTCAGGCTTCTTGGGAGTTAGTTGTACAGTCTTCTTGCTTCTTGCTACTCAAAGCGAGGTCCTCGGACCCGCAGCCTTGGCCTCGCCAGGGAACTTGTGAGAAGTGCAGACTCTTGGGCCCCACCCCAGACCCACTGCATAGCACCTGCATATTAACATGCCCTGGGGGATGGGCACACACGTTGGCGTGTGAAAAATGCTGATCTAGAACACACTGACCGAGAGCCCTGTCCCCTTCAGAAGACCACAGCGAAGCAAAGAACACCAGCCCCTTCCACCTTCCTGGTCAGTGCTGGGGTCAAGGGGGAGCGCGCTGATGAAGGGGACTGTGGGCAGGGTGAGGGCTGGGCTGGGTGGGCTGTACCTGCTGGAATGGGCTGCGTACGCTCTGGCTGCAATACAGGTAGTAACGGGTCACCTCTGCAAGGCAAAGACATTGGTGTCAGGCGGGAGCCCACAAGTGACCAAGCCCTCATTCATGCTCAGTGGCCAAGCCACTCCCTGAACTTCCAGGTTCTAAGAAATGGCCCAGAGGTCCAGCTGGCCCTGAAGTGGTGGGGACCTGGGTGACTACAGGGCTAGAAGAGGGAAGCAGAGGCACCGTCGGCTGGCCAGGGTGGCTCTGACCACAGAGGCGTGCGGGCTCATTACCTGTGCTGAGCTGGCCCTCTGTGATGTTCAGGATGAAGGTGTCAGGAGCCACGCAGAAGTCACTGGTGCCCTGAGCCGGAGAGATGGGAGGGGTGGAGGAAAGTCACGACACGGGGGCCCTGGGAGCAGCCAGGTGCCCTTGGCCCCAGCATTGGAGCCCTCAGCTCAGAGTGGGCAAGGATAGTCAGGAGCCAGCCTCCCTGGGTTCGAGTCCTGGCTCTGCCCCTTCCTAGCTTTGTAACTGTGGACGAGTACCTAATTCTTTCTGTGTCTCAGATGTCTCATCTATAATATGGAGAGAAAAACAATATTCAGCTTATGAATTAACCTACGTAAAGCACCCCAAAAGAGACTAGCAGAGAGCGGGCACCACGTACTGTTAACTCTTATTACTCTGCCTCTTCTGGGACAGACCTCGGCGAGCCTGGACCACGGGGAAGCTGCAGGATAGGTGGTGGGGAGTTATTTGCACCATGGCCTCACGTGCTCATCTCTGTTTTATTTTTTGCCTTGCTGTTATCAAGATTTGCACGCTCTGGGGGTACGTCCATCTATGAAGCCTCACCAGACTCTCTTTCTATAGAATTATATTGGTGCTGAATCCATCTATGAGCTTTTGGGTGCACATCCTGCTCACGAAGAGATGGGGGGAGGAGAAGAGCAAAGGGCCAGGGGTGAAAACACACAAGTTCCAGGCTCTGCCACTAATAAGATGGGGGACCTGGACCCCACAAAACTCCCTGGCTAGGTGACCACCAAGGGCCCACGGGGCTGAGCGGGAGCAGGTCCGGGCCCTGGGAGGGGTTGCAGCAAGTATGCCATCCTCTGGGCTAGGCCCGCCCCAGGTCCAGCCTGGGGTACAATGGGACAGTGGGTAAAGGGGGCCTCCACCTCTCAGAGCAGCCAGGGTGAACTGGGGTCCTCTGGCCGGTTCCTGGGAGCTGCCCCTGCTCCCGTGTGTGCTCCCAAGCAGGGGACCCCTCCCCATGGCCCTGCACTGGCAGTGCCCTGTCCCCCTTTGGGAGTGGCTGTCTCAGGGGTCCATACTATTCATTCATTGAGTCGGTAAATATCTACTGAGTACCTAACGAGGCCCCATGTGTCGTCCTAGGCACAGGATACAGTGGCTAGCTGTATTGTAGCACTTCCGGTCTAGAAAATGTATGCATGGATGGGGTTGGAGAATAAAATGCCCCTCTAGATACAGAGCTTCCGCAGAGCCACATCTGTACACACACACTCACACTCATGCGCTCAGGACCTTGGGAGAATTGCTCTATACATAAATCCATAACACGCATCATCAGACTGGTTGGCTACTATAAATCAGAGCCACAGCACCAGCAGGCCCAGGTGCACCCACAGCGTGTCCCTGGAGAGGGAGAGCGGGGAGCCAGTCCCGAGTGGGAGGTGGGGAGGCCCCGGGAAAAATAAACAGCGAAGCCGCCATCTTGGTCTGGGTTACTCCCAAGAAGATTGGGATCCAAATAGGGACGGGAGATTCTTGTCAGAGGCTCCACCAGGGAGATGGCCTCCCTGTCCCCTCCTCCCCACTCAGGCCCGGCCTGCTTTGCAGATTCTTCCACGAGGTCTCAAATTCCCTGTCACGAGGATAAGGGGCCGTATTTGCATTGTCCACGCAATGGGGATGAGGACAGGGACAGGGGCGGCAGAGGACACAGCACAGTTGGAGCAGCTGGAGCAGCTGCCCAGAGTCCCGCCCAGGTGGTGACAGCCTGCAGGCAGCTCCTGCTAGCAGAGGTGAGGGTCCGAAGGAGTCCCTCTGTGACCCTCACATGAGAATAACTGCACGATAAACCGGTGATGGCTACTGCTCACTGAGGATGTACTCTCCGCCTCCCATGGATTAGCCAACCCATCTCACCCCATCAACAACTGTCTGAGGCAAGGACTATTATTCTCCCCGTGTTAGACACGAGAAAGCCGAGGCCTTGAGCGTGTCGCTGACTTTCCCAGATGTGCACGGCTGGGAAGTGGTGACGGGACTCACAGGGCGTGCGGCGCAGTCTGTGGTGCTGTGCAGCCAAAGCGCCGGGACGCCGCTCTCTCCTTTCCCCAGTCTACACCCCCCTTCCCTCTTCGTGGGTGCCTTCTCTTCTCTCTGCCCCGAGCCCTTCACCCTCTGCCTTACAGTCCAAGCAGGTAGGCAGCCAGCTGGGGGGGGGCGGCCACAGGAGGCTCAGCGTGTTGCCCAAAGCCCAGAGCTCAGCGCCCCTAACGCCCACTCAGAGCAGACTCAGGAGCAGGGCTCCTTCCAGGGGAGGTCCTTTCTGCGGGACAGGAAAGGCAGGTGATGTGGGGGAGGGCAGTGTCAGTCCTCTGGCCCCACAGCTCTCAAAATCAGCCAGATCTCAGAGGGCAGGGGCCGGAGGCCACACAAAAGCTCCCCACAGGGAGACAGCCTGCCTCCCTCCCGTCCTAGCTTCTCCCCACCCCACTTCCTATTAAAATGCAGCAGTATCTGCAGCCCAATCAAAGGCCCATTCATACTTGTCTGTCCCAGGGGGACCTGACTAAACGAATTAGGGAAATGGCCTTTCTCTGGGGCTCCCTTGCGTTCCAGGGCACCCAGCTGGGAGATTAAATGGCCTCTGGTTTCCTAGAACACTGAAGCCCGGTTAGGAGGAGTCAGGAGAAGGCTGTCTCCCAAAGGGCAGCTCATGGGGGCGAGCTGGATGCTGCTTCCAGGAGGCAGAGGCTGCGCGGCCGGCAGGACAAAGCCCCAGGAAAGCACACCACGTGCGCGGTTCCCTGTGCTTACACTTGTCCCTGGAGGAGAGGCTGTCGGCCAGGCAGCTGGGCGTGTTGCTCTGGCCAGCAGCCACTCCCCTGGACAACACACAGCCCACCCAGCTCCAGATGACATCAGGATGCTTTTGAGCACAATGAGCGCCCTCCTACCTTGCCCTGCCCTGTACAGAGAGGGGCCCCTGCCCTTGGGACGCAGGCTCAAGCCTGTCCAGTTCTCCCTCCTGCCCAAAGTGGACACTGCATGGTTGGGGGGTGGAAACAAAACAGGAGCTTCCCACCTCCTCTCCCTTCCGGACAAGCTCTGCCAAAAGCTGCCATGTGCCAAGCCGACCAGGGTTTATTCATTCTGTGGGCATCAAGGGGGCAAACTGCCCAGGGCTGGAGCTCCTGACCAGCCCCCAGATCACTGGGCAAGGCACGAGTTTGGGTAGAGGGCTTCCAGTCTGAGCCCATTCCTTTTTCCCCAGGTCGCTAGGGTAGAGCAGATGCAAGGGTTAGTTCGTGGCTCTTGAATCAGCCAGGGGTTCCCTGAAATCCCCTGGTAAATCCTGCCCCCGCTAACACACACACACACACACACACACACACACACACACACACACACACACACACACACACACACACACACACGATGCACCTCCACTGTATGGATTCACAGGGGGTTGCAATGATCTGCCTATAAGTCTTTCATCTGCAGGCTGCGACATATGTCCTGGTTTTCACATCTCCAGGCACGTGGTACCACTGAGTGCCATAGAGCCAAATGCCAGCTGGACGAATGAATGAATGACTCATACACACAGCTCAACTCAAGTGTTAGGTCTATTAAGGACCAAACACCTACATGGGAAGCTCCCCCACCTTGGGGCTTTTCCTTGTTTTTGATTTTAACATTTTGAGGTTAAAAAGGCACCACTGTGTGTCAGACTGTGTGTGAGTCCAAGGGCAAGGAGTCGGAGGTCAGCTAGATGCCACATCCCACACGCCCAGTGCCCAAGAAGTATGTCAGGGGGCTCCAGGTTCAGACCTCACCCACCCCCACCCCACCCACAGACCCAGTTACTTCACACACACAGAGAAGTCACCCGGTCATCCATGCAAGTCCTTATAAGCACTAAGCAGGTAGCTGGGAAAGGGATAGGCTTCAGGTGTCTTATCCTGGCTCTGGCTCTAAATGCCTCATGATTTTCTGGGCCTGTGTTCCCACCTGAAGGGTGAGGGGGCTTGTGCAGCAGATCGCTATGGACAGGACACATCGACATGCCACGTACCAGACAGATGGTCTTGGTCACGCCCCCCCCCTCTCCACGAACCATCCACCCCTCCCCCTCTTCCCCCCAACTCACCACTGCTGCAGCGGTGTCAGCGGCCAGGGACGTCCAGCTGAGGAGCAGGGCCAGCATCCCACAGCACAGCATCCTAGGAGAGAGGGAGCTGCTGGTGGGATCCAGGCGGAGGCTGGCAGGCTCAGGGGACCCCACGACAGCGGTCACCCCATCAACCTTAGCGCCCTTCCTCTCAGCTACAATCTTGCCCTCCCTGGCCTCCGAGACTCTTGCAGGAGCCCTAAAGGCAGTCTCGGTCCCTGCCCTAACGCTGGCCCTGTTGGCTGCTAGGACAGGGAGATGGGACCCCAGCACCTGGAGCAGAGATCCCGGGTCGAAGAGACACAGCTGGGAGCGCACAAGCTAAGGAGGAGGTGCTGCTGAGAGATGGCGGGAGGCTCTAATGCTTGGGCAGCATCTCTTCAGCTGCTGAACAGAGGCAGGCCCAGGAGAGAGGGGGCACATGGGGAAGAGCCCAGTCTTTTTTGGAGTCCAGGTGGTGAGTTGGTAGCTACTGTCCCTTCTCAGCTGGGTGCTGAGGAGGGGGTGGAAGGCGACTTCAGGCCGTTGCCCGCACCACACCCTCCAAGCACGGCCAGGCCCTCATCTCTCTCTGATGATGGCACCATCATCCCACATGCTTGCCCAGATCTTTGTCCCAGGCCCACAGGTAGGGCTACTCACGAGGCCAGGAGACACCTGGAGCGCTTGGCCAGTCCCAGGCAGGCAATGAGGCAGATGACCAGGTCCAGGATGAAGAGCAGGAGGTAGGAGAGCCACCTGGATGGAAGGGGAGGGACGGTCAGGGGGAGCAGAGCAGAGCTCTCCACCAGGGAGGCCTAACGGCAGCCCCAGGGTCCACTGACACTTCCTTGTGACAGCCGCCCAGAGCCAGCAGCTAAGCAGACTGTACGCAGGTGTGTCCCCTGCCCGCGACGGGAAGAGCCTGGCTGGCACGGCGGATAGGCTGACCAGGGGCTCTGAGGCCTGCAGCCCCACTGTGGCCTGGACAAAGGAATCCCCTTCCCCGTTTCCTGGCCACCCACTCTATCTGCCACTGCCCACACGTGACTATGGGGAACTTGAAATGTGGTTTGTGCAACTGAGAAAATGAATTTCTAATTTTATTTAATTTGGATTCATTTAAATCTTAATGGCTAGTGGCCACACGCTGGACAGAGCAGATCTAAATTGTCTCTCTGAAGCCTCCAAGCAGGCATCTCTTTGGACCCGTTGCCTCTAGAACTCGCACACAGCATCAGACCAGACAAGGCCTGACATTTATATCCACAGATCTAAGAACGGCCACTTCTTTGATGAACTCTCGGCCTGGCCTCCCCTCCCCCAGGGCCTCCCATCTCGCCCCCACCAGCTGCTGGGACCCACCACTGTGCACATTTAGATTCATTTTAATCAGCTTTTGTGTCAGGCTTTGAGCTTAGTGCCAGGGTTGCCTGGATGAGAGGGCTCATTTGCAGACCACCAAGGAGCTCAGGGCAGGGCAGGGAGCCGAGGACATCCCAGGGCATGAGGGACCTCAGGCTCCCAGCCACCCACTCCTCTAGCTCTTTTGACCCCCAGGGCTGAGCTGATGGAGAAAGGCAGCTGGGAGACCTTGGCAAGTCACTTCGCTCCTTTGAGCCTTGGTTTCCATACCTGTAAAGAAGCCGAAAACTGTTATCTGGGGGTGGGGGGGGGTGAGGATGGTGTTCAGTAAATGCAAGGGTAAGATGGCAGGCAGACAGGGATCCGAGGTCTCTGCTCTCCAAAGCACAGGACCTGCACCGCCTGAATTCCAAGGGTGCTGAGAAGACCCCAAACAAAGCAACCTCATTCTCTCCCTTCTAAGCAGGAGCCCAAGGCAGTCCCCACAACTCAGCGCCAGCCTCAACCAGCAGCCACTTCCACTTACCCTGAGCTGGGGAACATGAGCAGTGGGGGCGCTGGTGGACAGAGAAGGCAGGGGGCAGAGAAGGGACTTATCCCAGTCCCTCCAAAAGAGAAGCTCGTGATCGTTATTGTTCTCGATGCAGGAGCGAATAAATTCATTGAGCCTTCCTCTCCAGCAATGGTTTTCTGCTTCACTGATATCATAAAGAAGGTAAGAAAGAATATGGAGTGTGGGTGGAAAGTGAGATGGAGCCGGAAGAAAGTGACAGAGGGGCTCTGAAGGGGAGGGAGCACACTGAAAGCCACCTAGCAGCCACGGGAAGCTCTTTCTGCCTTTGTGACTAGAGCCCCCCGCCCCCCAAGAGCCTCATCAAAACCATCAACTTCAGCAGAGAGCCCCACTGGAGGACTCCTAGGTTCCCAGGAACGGAGTTGGGGGCTCTGGGGAAAGTGCAGAGCCTGCTCTCCACTAGGATAGGCCACCAAGGCGCCAGTTTTCTTAGAATCAGAGTCAGAGCTGGAAGGAACCTCGGGGACCATCTGCTGTTAGGATCCCATTCACAGATTGGAAAACTGAGGCTTGTGGCAGGAGAGCCTGGCCCAGGAATCCCAGGCTCTCCGTGTCTTCTAGCTTTCCTACAAGACTCACAGCCTGCCACCAGGCACCTCCTCGCAAAGCCCTGGTTTCATGTTTCAGACCTAAAGGTTTCTTGTTACTTCTCTCCACCCCTCCACACATCGCCAGGAAATCAGGTTAGGATTGCTTCTAACTCGTTCCCCAGGGTTGTGTTTCACTGCCTAGTTCTGTAGCCATGCCTCACGTCGTAAGGGGTTCCTGGAAACAGCCCTGCAAGGCAGATGCATTTTCCCAGGGGAGCGCAGCCAGGGATGACCTGGGATGTATTTCCAACCAACAACTTGGCTCTCACAGAAGCGCTCTCCCATGGCTCCTCCCATATCCAGCCGCTGTTGACACACTCGTGCTGGGTTATCGCCTTTGGAAGCCTTTCCAAGAGGGTGGTCTGTTGGCTTTTTATTGCCTCCAATACTTAGCCAGGCCTTGTATAAAAGCCCTAAAAAAATTTTGCTTAGCTGGATGGCTATGCCGTAGAACCACCCGGAAAGCAAAGTTGGGAGGGGAGCGGGGGAGGCTGTCCAGAGGAGACCCAGCCCCTAATGCTGGTTAGCTCAAGAATAAAATAGCCTTGCTCTAGGGCAGCTCAGGTGAGAGAAGGAATGAGCAAACAGCGTGAGGGGAAGGGCCAGATCACCGTCAGTGTTCAGGAGCCACAGGTGCTAACCTTGGACGAGGCCTTTTTTGCCTTGACCTGAACAAGGGGTGGGAAGTGGAGATGGAGGTCCTGGGGGGTCCCTTCAATCACCCAGATTGAAACAGCTGCTGTGTAGTTGGCACACACACCCCCTCCCCCCGTTTTTAATGAAATCACCTTACAAATAAGCCCCTTTTGATGTATAAATTCTGACTTATTCCATCACTGTCATTATCAAAATGCCCACATTAGGCCCTCAGGTGTACACGGTCCTCGCCTAGGTCCACTCAGAGAGAATGGCAGGATCAAAATGAGCACCCACTTTCTACCTCCCCTGAACCCCCATGACAAAAAGATTTTGAAGGCTCAGGCAATGAATGGTCCCCATGTCACAGGACTAATCAGATGCCACTGTTTTGGGTCACATGTCACAGCCAATCCTTAGAGTTGACAGGTTTTTTTCCGTCACTTGGGCCCTTTTGCACATGTGCATTCATCCATCTGATGGGAAGTTGAACCAAGGTCCCTTTCAATCCAGACATCCATGTCATCCCGGCAATGCAGAGGCTGGACTGGCTGCAGAGGGGAGGGACGGAGAGCGCTGTCCAGAGCGGGGGACCTCAGTGCTTCCCCTCTTCAGGGCCCAGCCATCTCCTACCCTGGGGACGATGAGAACCCAGGGAGGGGAGATCTCTGGCCAGAGGCCACCAGGAGCGTTTTCTCTGGACTCAGTTATTCATTCAGCCTGGGATGGGGCTTTCTCGCAAAGGGGAAATGAATCCAGAACACCAGAGTACATTGTGCAATGTTGAGACCACGGCTCTGAACTTTGCAAATGGCTTGAAGAGGAGCCAACAGACTGGTGTGAGTGTGTGTGTGTGGGAGGTCCAAAGAGTTGATACTTGTTCATCAGGACTCATGTATCCCTCTCACCTTCTCCACGTTGCGCCCTGGGCCCTGGGTGTAGCGATGGGCACTTGTGAGTGCGTGTCTCCCTGCAGCCAGAAGCCACCCAAAACCCAAACTGCTGCCTCCCACCCTGGCTCTCCCGAGTAACCTTCACTAGACTCTGCACTTGGAGGGGGGGCAGCTGGTCCTTGGTCAGCTGACCTGTGTCCGGTTCTGCACCTGGGATGGGGTCCGGGGAATGGGGAGGCAGTGGAGATGTAAACAGACCCCCAAAGGTTAGATGGCGTAGATATGAGTTTGCACACCTAAGTATGGCAAAGGTGGGGGCGGTGCCCTGCAGCCTCCATCACTCAGGCTGGAGGCATTTCCGGGCTTGCTAAGAAGTTGCCACTAGGGGAGGTTCTGTGCAGGCAAAGAGGCCGCCATCTCCTGGACCCCCTGCACCCCTGTGGCTGAGTCTAAGTGCAGGAGGTCCTGCCCCAGAAACCCTGGCAGGCGAGGAACCCGTAAACCACTTGCATCTTCACCCAGCACCAGCCACAGAAAATGCTGCTCGCCGAGGAGCCCCATGCCACGTGCTGGGAGCCAGGTCCGGTGCTGGGATCCCGGCACATCACTGCCCCTCTCTGCACCTCAGTGCCTGCCTGTATCAAGAGGCTGTTCTACATGTCTACCCCGTGGCCCCCACAAGCTTTCATGTTCTCTGGTTTCAGTTAATGGCTTATTAAGGCCTTCTGGTGGCACTTCGCCGCCCAGGCCCAGAGACACAGCCCCTTACCTGTAGTACTCCACGTAGCCAGTCTGGTCAGCCAGCTCGGTCATCTGAGCTGTGAGCTCCCTCCACACGGGCACCCCTGACAGCTGGGCAATGATGTTGCTGGCCAGCTGCTGCATGAACTTCAGTGTCTGGATGTAATCGCCCCGGGTGGCAAAGATCTCACTGAGCCGGTCCAGGTGCTGCTCTAGGTCTACCTTCATCTTCTGGGTGGTTCCGGACACCTGGGGAGGGGCTGGGGCTGTGAGTCTGGCCCTTGGGTGGGAGGAAGCCAGAGAGGTCCAGCTCCTGACTCTAAGGTCTGTGAGCAGCAGGAGACGGCTGCTCGGGCTTGAACCAGCATGCCGCGCACGCAGCCCCCAGCCCTGAAAAGCTCAGGAGGCTGCTGTCCAGAGGGAGGATGGAAGACAGAGGCCTCCACCCACTCACCTAGTCCTTATGTCCGTCCCTCCATCCAGCGGGCAGGCCCTGATCTGCCCTCAACCAGGACCTGGGCTCCAAGACCCAGTGACTTACTCTAAAGAGAGACTCAGATGGGGAAACCAACAAATATCCACGTTTCTTCCTTGCAGATTCTCTTAAAGCTTTAAACATTGTGGATTATGGATTCCTTTTCTGAGTGAGGAATAACATGTTTAAGCTGAAGTGTTCCTCTGTTGCTACCTGATCTTTTGTTCCCACAATAGGATTTCTAAATGTCTCATAAGAGAAAGGCCTCGCTGTGGAGCTAGCAACAGCTCACAGTTCCTGAGCCTGAGTGAAAGCAGAACAATGGAACTTTGAAATAACACAGACAGACCCCATCCTGCCTCCCAAGAGCCTGGACATGTGACGGGAGGAAGAAACCGGTGCCGTGTGCTCATGGCCCTCCCCTGCGCATCTGTCCTGCTAAATAGATGGACAGGCTCCCGTCCCAGCCTTAAGGGCCTGGAGTTGAACGTAAGGGCCTGAAGGAAGCAACGTGCTATTGAAAGGTAGAGAGGGAAGGATGACGACAGTGCCTGTCCTTGGCTTGCAAACAAGAAAAGGCAAGCAGGGCTTGGTATTGCAAAGATGCAAACAGCCCAGACGCAGGGTTCCCATGGGACACGGATGCAGCCTGGGAGCCCCAAGCATGTCCGGCGGCCTCAAGCGTGTCCCTCAGAGCCTGATCTGAGCCGCTGTGTGGGCAGCGAGGGGAAGAAGGGCTTTGCTGTTCTAAAATTGTCACGCTCAACCAACAAGCACAACTGGCTGGAAGAGGGTGTGTAGCTAATCCTCTCCTGGGCAGCCTTCGGCGCCCCGAGGCCTGGAAGGAAGATAACATGAGACAGGAGGGCAGGCACTTTCCCACAGTCAGAGCTCAGCCAGAGGAAGAGGAGATGACACCCTTGGGTTCGGGGGGGGGATGGGACAGCAACATCCTGGGCTTTCACATCTGAACTACTCTCTGAGTTCCTGGTTCTAGAAAAGAGAATGGCTCTCTTTGTTTTGTTTTATTTTTTTCAGTGTCAGTGGCTTGTTCCGTTTTCAGGCGTGTTCCTGGTTCTTACAAGCTGGTTAAGGGCTGTGAGATATAGATACACTGTATCTAATGGATTTGGCAACTTGTAGATTCTCAGGGCCCATAAGCGGGCAAGGGGCGGGGAGAGGAAGCATGTAAAAGTAAATTCGGTAACTAAACATCACCCTGATAAACTTTCCTTTTCTATTCAATACAATCAACATCTAAGTGCTTTGTAGCCATTGAGCCCAAAGGCACTATTATTCACAGCTAACATTAGGAGCAAACCTTGTACCATGTGACATTTTCATATTCTTATATCATATCTAATACACTTGAGAGAGAATGGCTCTCATAAATCATCTGCAAAGGGTTTCTGCAAGCCCACATTTCCCTGCTTCCATAGTTCTAAAATTTTAACTTCTCTATTTTCTTAAATCCTTACTTGGAAAAAACAAAAGCCAGTAAGCATCTGTCAGGCCCTCTCTTCCCTCCTGACGTCTTCTCATAGGAAACAAAACAGTAAAAAAATAAAAGCCACAATGTTGACCTACTTACAGCCCCCCCTCGTTGGCACACACACCCCCTCCCCCCGTTTTTAATGAAATCACCTTACAAATAAGCCCCTTTTGATGTATAAATTCTGACTTATTCCATCACTGTCATTATCAAAATGCCCACATTAGGCCCTCAGGTGTACACGGTCCTCGCCTAGGTCCACTCAGAGAGAATGGCAGGATCAAAATGAGCACCCACTTTTTACCTCCCCTGAACCCCCATGACAAAAAGATTTTGAAGGCTCAGGCAATGAATGGTCCCCATGTCACAGGACTAATCAGATGCCACTGTTTTGGGNCCGTTTCCCTGAGTTCCTTAGAGACACAAGAGGGGCAGCTCAGCTCCCCAGGCTGGGGTGAGGTTAGGGGCGAGTTAGCAGGTGGTAGAAGCTGTTGTTCCCTAGCATAGAGCAATGGTTCTCCAGCTGGTCCCTGGGTGATTAGCTGGGAACTCATTATAAATGCAAGTTCTCAGCCCTGCCCACACCTATGGAATCAGAAACTCTGGGGTGGGGCCTGCACTCTGTAGTTACCAAGCCCTCCCGGGACTCGGGACTCCGGACTCGGACTCGGATGCAAGGTCAAGTTTGAAAAGCTCTGAGGGGGAGGAAGTCTCCACTTAATGAGGCTTCCTAGAAGGGCAGCCAGGCCTAGGGTTAAAGGGGTGGGGCCTCAGCAGGTTGAAGGGAGGAGCCCCATCACAGGTCCTTGAGGGGAAGGGCCAAGACCAGACACCTCGGTTCCGGTTCCAGTTCTTGTCCTGAAATGTACTAGCTTCCAACCCAGGTCAGGAACACAGCCTCCCTCTGCCCCAGTTTCTACACCCAAAGGCTGCTGCTGGCCCAAAGGAGAGCCCAGAGGAACCACACTGGCCCCCGGAACACGAAAGCTGGAGTAGATCAACCTCTTGGGAGCTGTAAAGCCCAAGGCCCATGTTTTAAACTGAGACCCTGAGGGGTGAGAGGTGTGACTGGTCTCCTGGGTAACTGGAGACCAGGCCCCTTTCACCCGGCACTGGATTCAGAGAAAGGACCCACCTGATACTCCCAAATGACCCTTTCTGACCCCCCCAAATCATAGTCTATAGTTGACCCAGAACACTGGCAGCAGGCCTGAGCCTTGAACCTTGGCCCCCATTCACCAAGGCACAAACATGGGGCTTCTGACCCAGGAAGGAGACCCAGGAGGGTCCATCTCGCTCTGGTTCAGGTCTGAGTCACCTGACCTGTCCCCTGAATCCCGCCCTTCCCCCCAATCCAAGCGTCCTCTCTCCTTCATGGAAATTATAGTAATATATATAATAACAGTAATTATAATAATGGCTCTCATTATGGTCAGCGCCATTTTGGGTATTTCATAGATTACCAGGCACTTTCACAGACAGTATCTCATCTAACATCATTTATCTGATGATATGTGGCCTTCACCCCCCGGAGCTGGGAGCCCTCTGAGATCTGCTGCCTCCTCTGGAGCTCCTGGGATGGGTTTGTTGGGTGCCCACCCCAAGGCGGAAACCAGCCCTGTAGGTCCTGTACGGGCCTGGAGCCCCGCCTCACCTACTGGAGGATACAGCCTGGGCTTGGGCCCCTGGAGCCCTCAGGGCTCACCCAGGAGGCCGGAGAGGGTCATCAGGATTGAAGCAGCTCCGCGGGGGGACCATCACAACAGCCTGGGGCTCCTGTCCTCACTTTTCAGAAATGGTGGCGAGAATATGAGGGGCTGACCGCCAAGGACACACAGAACCTTTCCCTTTGGGAACATGGGGGCATTTAGAGACATGCAGCTGGTGGAGAAATGTCCAAACCTGGCCCTGGGGCACTCAGCCCTCGCTCAGGTCTTGTTCCCAGCTTGTCTCCCTGCACAGCTCCCCTCCCCTGGGATAAGGACATGAGGAACTCAGTGTTCCCAGCAGGACACCTCTGAGACTTTCTCCCTTCCTTAGCCCCTGGGGGAGACAAGGGCCACTCCTTATAATGGTCACAAGTCAGCTGGTGAAGGTCATGGCTCTGGGGTTTCCCTGGGCTGGGGATTCTCCTTTGGGGTCTGCGTTTCTCCTCCAGGGTCCTGGTGCTGGTAGGTAGAGGAAGAGGGGGAGGCAGAGCCCAGAGGCAGTAACTATGGGGCCCCTTCCCCACCAGGGCAGAGGTGAGGGTGGGGGTGCCCAGAGGGTGAGCGCCCCCCAGGCCTCCATGCGCTGCTCAGGCTGCGTTCAGCCTACGAGGTTGCCCTCAGATTTCCTCCCTCTCACCCTACATAGCTGCCCTGGCCCCGTGTCCGGACAGCTCTCAGTCCCCAGGCATGGGTCCTAGTGGACATAAGGGGTGGACGGACGAGGTCTGCAGGGGACCTGGGCCCTGGCCTGGCATGTGACCCTCAGCTCCCCAGAAGGGCTCTCTCTGAGGCCAGAGCCACTGCACCCGGCCATCCCGGGGTGGGGGTGGCGGGGCAGCACACCTGTCTCTTTAAGGCGAGCCCCTCCTGAGGGGCTGTGGGATGAAGGCCTTAGGGGAACTTTAGGGAGAAGGACGGGTAATGGGGTTGAATCCTGTTCCCAGCGAGCGCCAGGACACTGTCCAAGTATCCAGTTGGGGCTGCATTTTGTGGTTGAGACTGCCTGACACAATAAGCCACTTGCTGAGGTCACCCCTCTGCTGGCCTGGGGACGGTGGGGGCACAGGAGAAGGAACTGGGAACAACATGGATGTCCAAGGACTGGTTTCCCTGAAAGCCTCCTTGGGGCACAGGGACTGCCATGGGGCTGCCTGGAAACTTAGCTGGAAAGATCTTCTGCCTCCAGCAAAAAAAACCAGATTCCCCACCCTCTCAGTGTCTGTCACTTGGCCGAAGGTTCAGCAGACTAGCTCTTTCCCTCCCTAAAAGTCCAACATCTCCTCTGGCCAGCCCAGCACAATCCTCACCCGGAGCCCCCAGCTGGACTCATGGCGCCCAGAAGCCAGAGCCTGGAGGACACCTCGGGGGGTTTCGGGCAGTCTCTCCACCCCCTGGGACGTTGACTTATTTTTGAAGAGCTTTCCCCATGACACCTCCAAGACCCCACAAATCTCTACACACAGCACCTAAACTGAACGTAAAAGCAGCACAGGGCTCCCTTTCCAAGTTCAGGGTCTCCTCAGGCAAATGGGAAAGCGTTCAGCTCTCCTACAGGTGAACGGGATTGACCCTACGGCCACCCCCTCATTCCCACAGGACCCACGAGCCTTTCTCCTTTGGTCCTCACTCTCACTCCGGCTACCACTCCCGCCCGGGGAGCAGATATCGCCTGTTTGCTCCTGGCAGGATCAACTGCAGCCCCAAGGGGAGTCCAGCCCCCTTGGAGCCGAGCTGGCTGGCATCTGACTGGGGCCCTTGTTCTGACCACACTGACCTCACGGGCTGCGCCTGGTCCGGCCAGCTGCCCATGAGCCTTACCAGCGCGTCGATCCCAGAGAAGGTGTGGTTCGCGTTGTCCAGGGAGTAGATCAGCTGGTGCACCCCATCATTGGTCTCGCTGTTTCCATAGAAACCAATGCCCACCGCAGCACTATGGGCAAGACCGCAAAGTTAGAGGTGACACCCAGAAGAGAATTTTTTTAATACGCTATTTTTTTTAGAGCAGTTTTAAGTCCACAGCAAAATTGAAGGGGAAGTACAGTGAGTGCCCACATACCCACCCCACCCCACCCCCGGCCAGAGTGGGACATTTGTTACAATGGATGAAGCTACATGGACACGTCATAATCACCCAACGTCCAGAGTTTGCATCAGGGTTCACTCTTGGTGTTGTACAATCTATGGGTCTGGACAAATGTACAATGACATGCATCCACCATTAAGTGTCATACAGAGTAGTTTCACTGCCCTAAAAATCCTCTGTGGTCCACCTATTCATTGCCCCCCCCCGCCCCCCGCCATCCTTCCATCTCCTGGCAACCACTTATCTTTTTATTGTCTCCATAGTTTTGCCTTTTCCAGAATGTCATGTGGTTGAAATCATACAGTATAGAGCCTTTTCAGATTGGTTTCTTTCCCTTACTAATGTGCATTTAACTTTCCTCCCTGTCTTTCCATGGCTTGATAGCTCATTTTTTTTTAGCGTTGAATAATATTCCGTTATCTGGATGGACCAGAGTTTATTTATCCGTTCACCTACTAAGGCACGTCTTCATTGCTTCTAGGTTTTGGCAATTATGAATAAAGCTGGTCAAATGCCCATAGAGAGCAGGCTTCTGACTCTAGCTGAGGAGCTCTTTCCTGGGGGCAGGGGAGGGGATGATGTCAGAAGCTCTGGCAGGTGGGGGTGGGAGGTGAATGGTCAGGGCCAACTTGTTCCTGGCCTGGCCGACTAGCTCTACAGCACATTTCATTTAGGCGGCAGGCCCCAGGGCCCTGTATCTCTGCCAGCTCCCCAGGTGACTGAAACCTCCAGAAATGGAGGGCTCCCCCTCCATTCTCTACCCTCCCTCCCCATACCCCCCCAAGGCAGCCTGTCCCACTGAAAATTTCCAGCTTGTAGAAAGTTCCTCCTTCTACCGAGCCAAAGCGCACTTCCTTAAACCACGCACCCACTGGTTCTTGGCTGTCCTCTGGGGCAGCCCAGAATCCGCTCCCGTTCTGCAAGATATCCATTATTCATCTGCATGTGGCTCCGTGTCACAACTTCTCTCCAAGTCAGTGCACGTCCTGCAGACCCGTGTCTATCATCACCATCCTCTGGGCTCAATGCTCTCTAACTGGTCAGTGTCGCCCTTAAACGAGGCCTCGGAGGGAAGCACCCCATTCCAGGTCATCCATCCAGCTCCGAGCACAGCGGGGCGGCAGCGCCCTGAGATCCTCCTCTCCCCACTACTGAGTGACCGCATGGTCTACAGACACCCTGGATTTCTTCACAGGAACTGCCCCCCAAACCAGTCTCTCCTCCCTCCTGTAGTGTTGTCTTGATTTTTTGTTGTTGTTGTTTTAACCAAAAGCAGAACTTTATATCTCTGTGAAATTTCATCTAGTTGGTTTGAGTCCAACATTCCAGGCTGAACAAATCATCTCAAATCTTGCCTCTGTCATCTATCATATTTTATCTGACCTATACCATTGCGGGAGGGGGGTCATCTGAAGAGTCATGAGTTTTCAGCTAAAACACTAACCCTGGGGGGAAAAGATAAATGCACACATGTATATATTTATGCTTTTTTCTTTTTTCTTTAAATAGGACAGGACCTAGGATGGTCCTGGGAGGTCGTTATGGACACCTACTCCCAGGCGTTCCCGACCCCTGGTTTAGGGCTCCTCAGGAAGTGGTCCAAGGACCACAGGACAGAATCACCTAGAATACCTGTGAAAAGTATAGGTCAGGGGTGACCACCTGCGCCCACTCATTGGTGTGGTCTGGGCACATGCTTTTCTCAGTGAACCAGAGCTACAAGAAGGCAGAAATGGTATCTGTGTTTCTTATCACGGGCTTCCTCTTCCCTGGCACAAATAACATTAGAATTTTGTAGAATGAGTCATGCCGAATGCACGCCTTCTGTTTGAGTTTTCCTTAAACAGCAGGTAATGATTACTTATTAGAATTGATCCTTTAAAGTCATTCTTACTGTTCCATAGTATTCTTCTGTCATTTGCCGTGTTTAAAAAAAAAAAAAATCTAAGCTCACATGTCAGGGCTCCCCATGTGGCCAGCACTGCCAGTTTTTTTAGTCGTCTGTCTAACCTCCCCGCCTTTCTCATCCACCTTCGTGCTGCTTAGTCCCAGGAGAAAGCTTTTCAAGATGCTGCTTCTCTCCCAGGAGCTCCTCTCTGCAGGGACAGACCCCAGTCTTTGAACTCCTGACCTGGGCTACAACTCTTTCCTTTAAGTTTATGACTTGAGCCCAGCCGCCTCTCTCACCCAGCCTGAGGTCCCAGCCATGTGCTCAGTGTTTTGTCACCCCTGAAACACTGCTTAAGGTACCTGCCTATCTTTTGGCTGAGACGATCCTTCCACTGCAGGCAGGACGGGATTGTGAACATGTCCTAAGGAGAAGAAAACTGCAGTGGCAAGGTGAGAACCCAGGGGTCCTTCCTCGCAGGCTCACAGTGTCCTGTCTGTCTCCTGTCCTGCTGCTGAGGGTTCTTGGCTGCAGCACACACTAAACAATGAGGAACTCTAGCCCCCGAGGGTGAGTACCCCCAGGAGGTCTCAGGGTGGACCTGAGGCTTTTGGGAAAACCTCTCTGTAGATATGAAAACAAGAAATAAGGGGCTAGCCAAGTGGCGCATTGGTTAATAGCTGGCTTGGGACGCCAGAGGACCCCGGTTCGGATCCCACATATGAGGGCCAGTGACACTGCCCTCTACAGCTAAGATGCTGAACAACAGTGGGTTGCCATGGGCTACCGTATGTAGCCAGCAGCCAGCGTGAGCGGCCAGCAGCCGCAGTGAGCGGCCGTCCAGAAGCCAGTGACTGATCGGCCTCACTCAGGAAGAGCGCAATGATGGTGCCAACTTGGGCCAGTGAAGCAACGTCCTCCACAACTAGACTAAAGAACAAAACGACAGCAACTTGTCTGATCCCTTCCCCCCAATTCCCCAGCGCTGTTCCAATTCCCCAATAAAAATCTTAAAAAAAAAAAAAAGCAACAACTCTTTATGACAGGGCCAGGGTGTGAGGGCTCTTGCCTGGGCCAAGAAGTCCCGCGGGTGGTACTAACAGCTATTGATCTTATGAGAAGATGGAATTGATCTGGGCTGGAGTCAGACCTTCTCTCACCTCACCGACTCCAGGCAGCAGCTGGGAGGCGACAGGGACTCAGAGAACAGAGATGCCCTCTACTTGGGAATGCTGCCAGGAAAGCTACTCGTGAGGCTGCCAGGCACACCTCTGCTGGGCTGGACAGGCCCACACTTGGGAAGGGCATGGGGCGCACTACAGAGACCCCCATTACTAGTCCAGGCATCTGATTCCTATTGCCTGGCACGAAAAGGGACAACATTTACCCTGGGGACAGGCTCTCCCATCGAGACACCCAGAGCTCAGTGAGGAGAACGTGGCCAGAAAGCTGATGAGCCACTTGTGGTTTGTTGGGGGGCTGGTGGCAGAGGGTGAGGAATGGGGGGGGGTCATGGTCATAGTCGAACTATCGGCAAGACACAGCTGGTTAGGCCCACTTTTCATCCACTGGGTCCGCCTCGCTCTCTTGCACACTGAGGTAACCCCCTGAGCTGCACATGCCTGGCCCAGTGCAGAGGGACACTCACCAGCAGACGAGCCCAGCCACCACGGCCGTCCAGGTGACACAGCAGGAGTTGCGCTGCTTGGTCTGCACCGTGTCATCTCGCCTGCAGCAGCACATGCAGACCAGGTAAACCACGAGAAAGATGAGGTTCAGGCCCAAGCAGACGGCGGCCACCAGCCCCAGGAACAGCAGTGACTGAAGAGGGAAAGGCTTGGTGTCAGCACTGGTCCCATGGGGGGCGGGGGGAGATTTGGGAAGGTGCCCTGTCCCCGGGCCAGGAGCCTGGACTGAGTTGTCTGTCTGTCATCCCTCCTGATTGAAGGTCCTGCTCTGAACACAGCGTGCCCAGCACTCAGGCTGGGTGGAGGTGAGGACTCAAGAACAAGTGAACGGACTGTGATCAGCTGAGGGATGAGGAGCAGCTGAAGGCCCGCCCCCAGGCCTGTGGCTGACACACGTGGATGAGGACGTGGACTCGACCCTGCCTGATGAGCCGCTCAGAGCTGCTCAAGAGATAAGGCAGGAGCTGTCAGCTGACAGTGAGGGCTGTGGGTGAGAAGCTGCGTGACTGAGGGACACAGACAAGGAGAGGTCAGCCACGGGGACCAGAGCATTGGGGTCTCCTGGAAGACACGTGGCTTGGGCAGGACATCTCAGAAACTAAGTGGGACCCAGGACAGGGCCGGGGAGGGACGGCCTAGTGTATCTGTTTCCTCCAAGTCTTGTCCGAGGTGCTGGGCTGCATCCAGATAAACAAGAAGTCTGCTCTGCTCGGGGAGGGGAGATGTTTGGACACGCGCCCATGGAGTCCCTTTCACCGCATCCTCAACAAGACAGTGACCCCCAGGTGCCAATGGTAGTGGCAAAGCCCAGAATTCCAAAATGGGCGGGAGGTGCCATCTTAGGCCCACTGAGGACCTCATGGTCCTGCGAAGGGAGCTGCTATCTGTCAGGAGGCCCGTGCCCCCATGCATGCTCTCCAGTCTCTTGATTTAGCCAGATGGGCACCAAATGGCACCAGGATTTGTGGCCACCAGCCAGGGCTGGACCTGGCTCTAAGACAGGCCCCTGAGCTGACAGCCTCACCCAGCTCCCCATGTGCCCCCTAAGTGGGTCCTGGTCTACAACCCTCAGCGCTCCAGTCTGGGCTGTCGGGGCTGGAGCCTGTTTTGGGGAACTTGCATGCTGGTGGTAGCGATCAGGAGAGTGAGGGAGATGCCAGGACCCTTCAGGTCTAAGGCAGAGACAAACCTTGTGCAGGAGACACACGCTAGGAGACAACTCTGAAAATCAGAGGCTAGGACTGCGGTCCTGACGCCCGGGGCCATTTTCAGCCGCGAGAGCACCTGCTGGGTCCACCCTGCCCTTCCCCAGCCTGCTCAGCTGCTCAGCCCTGTAAAGGTTCAGGGTGGCCTTTGGACCACTGACTTAACCTGCTCTGCTGGTCACCTGCACCAACAGGCTTCCGAGCCTCAGGGACAAATGACCAAAGTGGTGGGGACAGCCCAGAAGAGGGCAGGAGAAATGGCTCATTTGGGAGTGGGGAGGTGAACACGACCTAAAGTATGGCTTTCACTTTAACCTGGGAGAGATATGTCACAGGTGTGACCAGGAACTCCCCTCCCTGACTCTCCAGCATGGACGGTAAGCCCTCCTCCAGGGACCTGAAAAGGCCCAGTAGGCCTGAACACATCACCCTGCTGAAGTCCTCATGGTGTGTGGCACGGGCTGGGTTCCCATCCTGGACCACCAGCCCTGTCCCATGGACTGACACCTTCCTGCCCCCAGCCCAATGCCCCCAGGCCAAGGACGGGTGGGGGGTTAGGGCCTCGCGACTCAAAGTGACTGAAGTTCACCCACCTATGGCCCCCGGCACTGACGTCTTACGGAATGCAGACTCTTGTTAGCATTGTAGACTCCCCAGCCTAGACCTAGGGAATCAGAACTGCATCTAGGGACACCCCAGGTGACCTGCACCCCATTCGAGTCTGGGAAGCAATGATTAGTGTCAACACGCTTTCTCAAACTTTTCCTAGCAGCTTAGCCTTTTCTTCAAATAGATGGATACACAGTGCCTGCTCCGACAGAGAAGTGGGTGGAAACGCCATGCTTTGTCCTGGCCATACCCTCGCAGGCTCCTGAGGCCCCTCTGCTGAAAACCCAGGAATCCTCTCAACAAGTTGCAAACTACTGTGCAACATCCCACGACCCAGCAATTCTACTGAATGTTTACCATATAGAAAGGAGGGTTCGTGTCCCCCAAAAGGTACACACACACACATGTTCACAGCAGCTTAATACAGTGGTAATATCAAACACTTAAAACAGCCCAAATGTTCACCAACAAGAGAACAGATACAGAAAATGTGCGATAGTCACAAAATGGAGTACTACGCAGCCACGGAAAGTAGATTGCAGCTACACACGGCAATATGGGTGAATCCCACACACGTAATGTTGGAGGAAATAAACCAGACTAAACAGCAGAGATGGTGTGCTTTAAGTTATGTATAAAAGTCAGAGAAACTTATCTGCAGTGATAGAGGTCAGAAGAGTAGCTACCTAACATGAGGGAGCCTCCTAGGGCAGGAATAAAACTGGGATGGTGTCACAGACACACGTCTTAAGGTGCACTGAGCAGTTTCTTATAAGTTATTCCTAATGGGGGAAAAAAAAAGTAACAAAACCCCAGACAGACCTTTTGTACAGATTAGAGACTGGTAAACAACCAGACCTCCTCCCAGTTACCCTTGACATCTAGCTTGCCTCCCAAACAGGGAAACCCGCGGACTCTACCACGTGTCCCCACTCAGCAAGGAAGGGCCTCCAAGACGTGGTCAAGGCGTGGGTTGGTGCCGTTTCAATCTCTGCAAACCACAACCCAAGCCCCTCTCCCCCCTTAGTCCCTGTGCTGGCTCCCCTGTTTCACAGTCGCAGAGTCCACTCGGGCCTCCTGACCTCCAGCCAGTGCCGTGGGCAGGGGGCCCTGGGATTCTGTGGCCCCGGCCTCTCCGGCTGGGCAGCTGGTCTCAATTAGGTTACTGATGATGCAGTCCAGCCCCAGGGAGGCCATTCTGGGAAACGCAAACGCAGAGGACTGTGTTAGCTGTTCACCTTGGAAAGCTCCCACCACGCCCCAGTGCTGGGCGGACAAGGGTGGCACAGGGGAGGGGGGGGGCTGGGCGACAAGGAGGTAGGAAGGGGAGAAGAAGGAAGGAAGGCGGGGGAGGAAGGAGAGGAGGGAAGGAAGCAGAGGCTGCACAGCAGAACCATGTCCTACAGCCACCTAGGTGTCCCCTGCCGCCTTCTAATGGGCAATTATTTCCCTGATTCTAATTAACACTGCGGATCCCCGTGTGCGTGGGGTGGGACGAGGGTGGAAGAGGGGGGTCCAGAGGGAGCCGGGCGCTCGGCTCACACCCCCCCCCTGCTCTGACAGACAGATCCTGGAAAGCACAGTTTACCATGTCACCCCTGCACCCCCACAGTGCCCTGCAGCCGCCACCACCTCCCCATTCCACCCCAACACGTGCCCACAGCCCCCACCTCAGGGCTCAGGCTCCAGCCTCTCCTCATCAAAGAGACTTGGGTTAGTTCTGGTTTTTCACTTTGTGATGAGAAGCCCAGAGCAGAAAACCAGGACCTACGCTGGGGGCAGCAGTGACCGGTTGGCACTCTGGGAATCCAGAGGCTCTAGCTGAACCCCAAGGGGCTTCTGCAATAGGTGCAGGAGGGGGTAACAGCCTGAGCCCCCTTTCACCCCAAGACCCCAGGAGACAGTGAGCCAGCCTAAGGGTGAGGCCAGGGTGGGGGTGGCGGGGGCAGCGTGATTGTCCGATGACTATGACTCAGTGCTCAGACTGGGGAACGGGGCTTCCTCATCCCTCAGCTCCCTCTCAAATCTCAACTGTGGGCCCCCTGCTTGGGTCTTTCCTCCTGAGACCCGCCCCCAAGTCAGGGGGGTGGGGGAGCCTGCAGTTCTGTGCCTAACCCCCACTCTGTCCCCTCCCCTGGCCTGGGGACACATACTTGGGACTCTCTGGGGAGTCTAGGAATTGAACCACCCAAAGTTAACACATGAAAATACCTGCTGAAATATAAAAAGTTACATCGGCTCTGCTACTCCATGCATGTCCCAAAAGAATGGCTGGTCTACTGATGCACCCGTGGCTCCTGCACGTTGACAGTAGCAACAGTTAACATTTGCATATCTTGGAGCTTAGTAAGACATTTCAAGTTCATTAGCCATTAGCTCATCAGTGTCCGGTCTCCCCACAAGGGGAGGGGCAGATAGTGCTGGTGGCAACAGAAGGAAGAAACGAAGTAGCTTGTTCTGGGAGACACAGCTGGAGGCAGTGCCAGGTGACCTTTCTGTTGTCCCCAACTCTGCCCAGGGGACACCTGGCCAGCTGGATCACCGCCTTCCCAAGCAGCACCTGTGGCAATTTACCCTGTACCAGGCACTGGCCACGTGCTTTACAGCCACTAACTTATCAGGTCCTCTCTGAAGGAGGAGAAATCACCTCCGTCTCCACGCCTCCCCTGTAAAAGGGAGAAGACTCAGGTGGGAGTTCTGGGCTGCTTCCCGTCTGGACACGCAGCCATGATGGGCAGCCTGAAGCTGGGAGCCCAGGGGGTCAGGGCCCCTTCCTCCACCCAGGCGCTCAGCTCACCTGCCTCCACTGACCTGAGAGGCCTTGCCAGGACCTGCGCAAGGACTCAGGGTCCACGCACACTGAGGGACAAGGGTGGAAGGACACACTATCAGGGGGCTTCCACTGCTCCCCAAGAGTCCAGAAAGTGAGTGGGAGCCCTTGCTTCTTCAGGGATGTTTGGGAGCTGAATCTGCTCAGGACATTCCATCTACCAGGTGACCTGTTTTTCAGTCACCTCCACTCTTCAAAGACCCCCCATTTGCTTTCTAGATACCCTGCACTCTCCTGCAGGCCTGCACCTGCCTGTTTCCATGGTCACTTAGTCTTTGGTACACACACACACACACACACACACACACACACACACACACACACACACTGTACCACAAGCTAGCACTGTTCATTTTTGCATGTGTTTTTTCAGCCTTCCTTGGTCAGCATCAGTTGATTTCTTCCCTGTTATCCCTTATGGGGTGTGTGCTTGGACAAGCTGCTGAACGTCAAGGCCAATCTGTGTAATGATTCGTATCACTGGGTCATACTACATGCTATGGAACCTACTAAGCATGCTACAGGGAACATCTCATTTAATACTTGCAGGTGAAGGATGTGAGGCTCAGAGAGGTACACAAACCTGCCATGGTCACACAGGAAATTATAAAACTGGCATTCCAACCCAAACAGCCGGATGGCAGAGCCCCAGCCCCAGGCCCTGGCTGCTTTGGTCATCATGTCACCCAAGTCTGGTACAGAGCTTGTTTCCAATCAGATGTGCTGAGTACTGAGATGACTGACAGCAGAAAGCGCCCAATCCGTGGTGTTAACCAACCTGCCACCTGACTCTGGCAGGGACTGCCCCTCGGGAGAAAGGGGATGTCTAGGAGAGACCACATAGTCAGACAACAGGGGGACTTACCAAATAGGAGCTGCCTTACATAACACCCAGAGCCAGACTTCCCATCTCGGCCTGGCCTTCCACATTCATCTCCCACTGGGCAGCTGGGTGTCCCGCTGCCCAGGAGCAGTGGCCCATGGGAAGGGGATGCCCTCTGGAGTCATTTGATGCCCGGCACAGTGTGCCAGGCTTCAAACCCTGGGAGGAGAGGGGTAGGGCTGTGAGTGGGTTCCTCTGGCTCAGATGCCACCACTCCGTGGGACTAAGGGGGATGGGGCAGGCTCAGGCCATGCCAGCCACAGCTGCTGGCCAGACAGGTGCTGTCTCTGGGGGCCATGGTGTGAGGGAGGGTCCCACCACCCCTCCCCGAAACTGGCGGTCTTCTTGACCCAGCCAGGAGTTCAGATTTCCTCCAGTGGAGAAGAGAAAACTATGGTTGGAGATTCTGGGTACAGGATCTGGGGGCACAGGGTTTCGGACACACACACACACACACACACACACACACACACACACACGCACGCACGCCAATAACAACACAGCTGTCTATGAAATCATATCCTCCTGTCTTCAGGCATTCATAGGGAGCGGAAGATCCCAGAGCTGTCCCCCTGGCAGCGGCATTCTCAGGGACACTGACTTCCACAGGCGGGGCTCTGGGAGAGGGAGGAGCCAACACAGGTTAGGAGGGAGCTCAGCCAGACACACCCTCCGACCTGCCCCCTCCATCCCTGCCTAAAAGCGGGAGGGGTCCTGGTTCTCCTTCCCACTGGAAGGGCACTGCCTAGGGCCTGAGGGCGACAGGGACACTAGAGGCTATTATTAGACTCCTGGCCAAGGGTGCACTGCACACCCTACCGGATCAGGATACACTGTCCCTGCAGGAGAAAGACGTGGCCGTGAAGAGGAGACCAGGGGAAGGGGCGCCCAGGCGCCCAGCTGAATCCCGGCTCAGCCTCTCGCTTGTACATGGGCCCCACACTGGGAGACTGCGCCTGAGAACCTGACACTGCAGGCAGAGGCGACCGGGGGTCAAAGTCCTGAGATGGGCCTGTCCCGGGCTGCCCCGCCTGAATCTTTGACCAAGCAGAGAATTGACTCAGCGGGGCCACAAGGGCTTGGCCAGACCTGAGAAGCCTGGGCGATTCTGTAGCTCTGCCTGGGCAGGAGGCCTGGGGAGCAACCCCCCACCCATGGGGTGCAGAGACCACAGAGGGAAGGGCGGGCAGGGCAGGGAAAGAGCAGAAATGCGAGGAGGAGGGGAGTGGCTGGCCAAGAAGCCAAGCCCCCAGAAGTCCAGGGCCTAGTGAGGGGCAGGGGGAGTGCGGAAGGGGTGAGGCTGGGGCGAGATGGGGCTGACCCGGCGCCACCTTCCTTCTCCCCAACACCCACATGTGTCTGTGGGTTCTCAGCGTACCAGAGGGAAGTCACCCCTCACCGCCTCCCCAAGCCCTGCAGCCTCCCAGGCAGGAGGAGCCCCGGAAGAGGTGTTGGCAGCGGCTCCCTTCCTCCCAGGCAGAGGGGCCGAACTTGGGAGACTCCAGTCAGCTTCTGCCCAAACTTCTCCCAGGCCACCCAGCCGCGTAAAGAGAGCGCTCGCCTTGGAACAGCAGGAGAAATACGCCGGGTGCCTCCGCTCGAGCGCAGGAGTTCCCCCGATACAGTCTCCAATGTCCCTTTCCCGCCCCACGCGGCCGTCCCCTCGGCGCTCAGCTCCACCCCCCGCGGGCAGCCTCCTCCTCTTCCAACCGCCGGCTCAACCCCTATCTTTCCCGTTTTCCCAGCCCATGAGGTTCCCAGACAGGAGGGCGGTTGGGCCAAGGGTCCCGGGGGAAAAGGGAAGAGGGGTGAAGGGGAGCGGCGAGCTGGGGAGGGGGAGAGCGGTGGCCTGAGTCTGGGGCGGCGAGGACTCACCTCCTGGTAACTCTCATCGCGGGGGTTGAAGGTGCTGTCCACCCGCTGCAGACGCAGGCCGAGGTGCGGGACGCGGTGCAGCCACACCACCCACCAGGGCGCGATGTACTCCACGCGCGCGGCCGGCATTGCTCCGCCGGAGCGAGCCAGCCCGCCGCCGCCGCCACCTCGCCGCAGACGCGAGCCCACTCCAGGCCCCGCCCCGGCCCCGGCCCCGCCCGC